TCGGGAACAGAGCGATTGGCGGTTTGTGATCACTCAGTTCTCAAGCTATAGAGCCGACGTTTGATAGCTTCAGTGTCACGCGTAGGCTCTAATTATGGGGATGAGTGTATTTCACTCTCCCCATGATTTTCCTTTAATGACATCCAGTGTCATTCAATCTGAAAACCTGAGGAAATTCTCTGTGTACAAGAACTTCTGTGCCCCGGGTTGGCCTTTAAAAGCTTGCCCACTTGGCAACAGGAACTTGGGGTACTGGCCCTGTCCTCTATCACTGATCCTGTCTGTATCCCAATGCTGTTAAGTTCTCATCGAATTTGTGCAAAAAATGGGGCACAAGCTGCAGGGCATGTAGGAAGGTCACACAGCTGAAAGCTCAACATCAGAAGAAGAAAAACTAAACAATCTTCTGGTGGGGAGTGCCAAGGTTGCCTAACACATGATATGTATATGGTGACCTCATTGCCCATGTGGGAAAAGGATTCATTTTTCTTGCCACCCCCATAGTGAAATGCAAGCTTTGAATGGTTTTGCCCTGAATGATGTTGTAGGAGGAGACAAACACTGACAACTGTACCATTTAGCTTATATGATGGGTGCCTGCGTTGTAAGAAATGATGTGCAATTTAAAAGCGTATTCAAATGATTTCTGTATCAGGCCTCGTTCTCTTTGCTCCAGTCATTATGGATCAGTCTGAAGGAATGAATGGTGCAGTAATTAATTGTGTATACAGAAGCAGAATGCAAATATCACTACAAAAGAAGGCTTTAAAAATGGGAAGGTTCTCGAACCTGGGCACTGTTATACCTCCCAGCACAGTTTAGAAAACGCACATCGCCTTAATAAACTCCAGTTTAGTCCAATGCATAATTTTGTATTACAAGCCCTTTTTTCATTTACAGTATACCTGTAAAAAGAAGAAAACATCTGAAAGTAAAGCAGACACCACAAGATGTCAGACTGTACCTTACACTTCACTATGGGGCCCCCCTAAGCCAATCTCCCCCTTCCCTTATAGTGCCACGGTTTTTGGCTGTGAGATCACAGGCATCCCATAATGCAATGTTCTGAAGAGGCTCCAGAGTCTATGTGCAAGTTTACATTTGGTCCCTTGCTTTCCACAGGACTCCGGCGGGCTTTTCCAGACCACCGTGGGATGATGGTGATTTCACAACCAGGAGAAAGTGGATATCACAGTTGGGGGCAACGATAACACACCAAATGGTAAGATTTGGCACTTTATAACATCTGCTATTCCCTAAACTCTATTTTCTTACCACAGATTTTCTTTTACTGTAATAAAAACGGTGAAAACATGTGTATGTGTAGATATTATATACACATACATACATACATGGAAGATCCCTCTTCCATCTGTACAAGGGATTTTCACCACTCTGGCTTACGGCTATAAGCAGACATGAAATGGCCGGCATCCCCGGTGTGCCCTCCATTACAGAATTGATCTTTGGTGATATACTGGGAGAGAGCTGCAAAGTGAGAATACAATACAACTGATGTAATTACATTGGCGGAACCTCCCGCCTAGTTTCAGCAATTGTACTGGCATGGCCTATCTTGAAATCTGCAGAAGCAGGCAAGAACCTGCATTGAAGTTTGTGGCAATCCCTGCAATGGAAATATTTGACTTGGAGGGGATTTTTCCTTTTTTTTGGAGTTTTCCTTTAAATATTCCCGAGAGGACTACATATAAAGTGCCCCCAGTACCACAAAGACTTCCCATTACTGGCTCCAGAGCATAGGCAATACCCAAAATATTTATATATCTATATACATATATACAATTCATACACCAAAATATATAACCCTCCTCTAATAGCAAATAAAACTTAAAAATATATAATAAAGATGTATATATTATTTTTTTATCAGCTTTCTGTAATACATAACATAAAACAATTGCAATTTTTATTAGTTCCCTGAACTATTTTCTCCCATTATTAAGTCATTAGACTTGCCATCGCTCAATATGGCAGTCGAGATTGGCATCACATTATCATTATTTGGTCTTAATTCCGCATAGTGGTACGGGTACCGTGCGAGATGAGATCTGGCAGACCCTGAATGCCTGGAGATCTTGGATTACCATAATGTTAGGTCCCTTTTGCAGCTTGACAAGGCAGAGCACTGATAATTTGTTTAAAGGGAACCTGTCATGATTAGACATATGTAGGATTTTAAATATTCAGTCTTATTGCTGAAAATGCCTTTTTTGTAGCTCCCTCTTCTTCTCCAGTAAGGCTCTAATGCTCATTAAAGGAAAACTGAGAGGTGAGTGATTTACACTTATCCTCATAGTTAAGAGTCAAAGAAGCGGTCACAGGTCGACTTTATTGATCGGGAAGTGAGCAGAAACATGTATCAATCCGCTCACTTCCCCATCATCTCCCTGCAGTGACTGTCAGTCACCGATCCCCGCAGGGATTCCACCCTCTCCTCTCCGATTCTCCAGCGCTGAGTGGAGGAACAAACAGGAGGTAGGCACAGCCAGCTGTCACTAACGCAGCTGGTAAGATCTCGACCGCAATGTCGGGATCTGTCCCGGCTGCGGAGCTCTCAGTATATTGCTGGCAGTAGTCCGTGATATACTGACCTTTATGTCCCAGGAGGAGGTTAGTAGATGTCCTCCCGTGACCCTAAAGAGAACTATGGGGAAAAACACTTACCCCATAGTTCTCTTTAAAATCTATGGGGGCTGTAACAGAAAAATATACTTGACTTATTCCTGGCACTTTCCTCTGCTCCCACAACGTGGGCAGACATTGAACATTCTTCATGTACAGTACAGGACCACACACATCTTACACAGCACATGATGACACTGGCGATGGGGCAGCTAGTAGGGAGGAAGCCTGTGGGAGTCAGGAATAAGATAAATATTTTCCTCCCTTACAGCCCTCTAAACGTTACCAGCATATTAGGGCCTTATTATAGAAGGAGGGCTACCAAAAGCACATTTTTACACGATGACAAAGTTCAGCTTTAAAAGGAGAAATATTGGGAGAGTCAAATATACTCAGAACTAATACACAATAGTTAGCTGCAGTGCCACACGTCAGCTGTATCACATGCTGACTCTATAGATTAAGAGCTAAGCCATCACCAACCACTGGCCGCTCAGCTCACGGCTTCTCCCTGCAGACTATGGTGACTGTCAGGTATTCTGGATCCGCCCAGCTGTGTGAGTGACAGCTGGCTCTGCCTATCTAGAGGCAGAGCCAGCTTTACTCGCCCCCTCCCCCGTCCGTTCCGCCAGTCAGCGCTTGAGGAGCGGGGAGGGGGGAATGCAGCCACTCCCCTGTCACGGCTCTCTGCAGTGACAGGATCGAGAAGTGAGCGAGCGCCGGTATGTGTTCGCTCACTTCCCGATCTACTGAGCCGACCTGTGACAGTCTCATTGTCACAGGTCGGCTAGAACTATGAGGTGAGTGAAAAGCACTGACCTTTAAGGGGTTGTTTTGGTCTAGGTTAAAAAAAAAAAGTTAGACTCGCCCGATGCTCCAAGCCTGCTTCTTCTAAGGCCGGTCCTTCCAGCCTCTCTTCCCCTGCGCTGCAGAGGTCTGAGGTCCTGCAAATCAACAACTTTTATACACAGTGTATAGACGTGCGGACGCTGAGGAAGATTCCAATGCTGCAGCAGAGGCTGGAGGGAGCGATGTGACAGCCAGCCGGCTCAGAGCTTCAGGCGAGTATCATTTTGTTATTTTTGGACCTAGACAAAAACAAGCACTTACCACTTGCAGTGCGGAGATCGCACCACTGCAAGGGTTAATAAAAAAAATCCTGAAGTGTTTTCTTTCGAGTAAGTAATACTACACTGGGAGAAAAATCGAAATCTTTGATGGCTTACTATTTATTTGTGAGTAAGCCTGCTCAGATATAATCACTTAGGACTGAATATTTAGATCTTTACCTAAGCCTACTCATGACTGTACATCAGGCTAGGAAACACAGAGGCTGAAAGAGAATCAGAAGGCATACAGGATGGTCAACAATAAACTGACAGCATTCAGGGAGGACCAGATCTCGAAGAGATCGCTATGAAAATTGTTGGACAGCTTGCAAGATACATTGTCTGTTTCCTGTGGATTTATCAAACCGCTTCCTGTCAAATCCACTTGATAACCAATAAAAGATTTGACAGAGCCTTGCAGTGCCCCTGGCAGGAAGTGCAGCGATTTTCCCGATAGGCCCTCCCCCTCTTTAGATACAATAGATCCTGAAATTGAACAAGACCTCAAAACAGAAATATGAACCCACACCAATCAAAATGTCTAAACCGATAACTGGGCAGCAGCTTCCCATGAACGTGTGAAAATCACACTAAACAACTGTTAAATTAAAAAGTAAAATAAAGCACCATCCATCTTGTCAGTGGTCAATAGGCGAGCTGGAACCTTCTGGGCAGTACTCAGATGAGAGCAGACGTTAAATTGCCTGATATCCCAGTTCTGGCCGAGAGCCAGTGGATTCAATCGCCATCCGGAATCTTGTGTCTCATTGACTCCAACAGAGATATCCCTCCCTCTGAGTTTCCAGCTCCACCGCAATTCATAGCCATTTCAGAGGAGGATCTACCTGCTGGAATAAGACTTGTTGGTACAGAGAGCAAAAGGCAGTAAAATCCCACAACTGGATATCTAAAAAGTCTGAGGCCGAGTCATCCAGCCACAACTTAATCAGTTAGATGCAGACTAACCCTTTAAAGCAAGCAAGATATATGGACAGCTTTAGAGGGGTTTACTCACAGTGTTCCCATATAAAAAAAACGGGACGGCTTTTGGGACTGTATAATGTCCACTGTTGGGGTAGCAGGCAATTTTCTTTCTGGTTGGTAGTTCATCGTGACAACCAAACACATCTGCTTCCCCTTCCTGAGATATAAATCACACTAAAAAACAAAAAAAAAGTAAAACGTATATGATTTTCATCATGTCCTCCCCAATGGTCACTTCATGGATCCAGACACTGAAAGAGTGCTGAATGAGATGGGTCGGAAAAATCTGTCCCTTTTCCCCGGCACCCATCCAAAAATCATCTGCTTGTTGCACAACTTCAAGATGAACCTTTTAGCAACAGCAGTTTTACTAGATAAAGGATTCTCACTCTCTGACCACGGCGGGAGGGCGGGCGGGCACTTGCTTGGTCGGAGACCTGACACTGATCTTGTGCTAGGATGTCCAGATTGGAAGAGGGTGAGCCTCTGTATTGAAGACAAACTTGTCTAAGTTCAAGAGATCCACATCGTCAGAGAAGAGGAGGAACAGGTACTTGAGGGTCTCCCCCAGGAAAAAACTCTCCATCTTGTCTCGGGGCTCAGGGTTGCTGGGATTTTGCACGTTGTTGATGGAGGAGTAGCCACCGGATGGAACCTGGTAAAGAATATTGTAAATAGTACAAGAAACAAAACGTACAGTCAGAAAATCCTCTTTTCTTTGTTCTGGTAAAGGGAAGCTCAAATAATCCACTTCAATGTTAGACAGATATGTGAATGCATCAGACGCGGCAACATATGGACTTTACATACCTAGGATTTGCCCCTTGCTTTGCAGAGCTACATAACGGTTGTGCTTCACTGCTCGTTCTCACAATGCAGATCTATAAAATGGGTTATACCCTAGGGATGCACCGAACTTTAACCCGCTGAAACATATCGCCCGAAAATGCTACTCTGGACAAAATGGCGAAAGTAAAATTTTTAGGCCAAAATTGCGGTGCACCCATAGTTTCTCTCCTCCCCGCTGGGCACTGCTCTGTGTCCCCTCTGGAGGAAAGAAATGTTCAGGAGGCCTCCTGTGACAGGCAGAGGCTCATCATGGAGAGCGGGGAGGAGACAGTTGTCAGCTGTCACAGGAGGCCGAGCTGGTGGTGCGGAGGGTCAGCAGTGCCACAGGGGCTGAGCTCTCCTCCCCGCACCACTCTGCCTTCTGTGATAGCCGAAGGAATTAATTGAATACCTTTAATTTAAACATTATTATTGTAGGGTATTAAAGATAAACTCCATACAGACAGCTAGAAGTATATGAATTACCTGCCACAAGTGAACTGTCATTTTGTTTGGCCAAAATGACAGCGGCCACACTATTCCTTATCACAGAGTCTGCTGATTGGATGATGAGGGTGCAGCACCAAAACAACACGTTATTTAACCCTGTCCCCTCTTGTAAGCAAGTTCCACTTTCAAACTGACAGCACTATGCAATGCAACAGAGTCCTGATTGGCTCACCCTACCCCCAGAGAATTGTGGCAAAAAAAAGAGAAGAGAATAAAGATTCAGGTACCTATATTAGCAGTAAGAACAGGCCACAATGCTGCGCTATATAATAGTAAGCATGTACCCACACTGTTGGGTTACTGAAAAAACCCAGGACACATGGCTTTAATAAAATTACCCGTGTGAACTTGTTGAAGTTCTGGAGGATTTCCCAGCCCCAGTCCTGGTATTTGGTGTCACCAGTGAACCGATAGAGATAGAAGAGACTTTCCACCGTCTCGGGTCGTAGGAGGTTGTGTCTGTCTGCGGTCTGCAAATGTAAAAAGACAACATTCATACAGTACTGAAATTCACCGCGAGATCACTCTAACAGCAAAGCTGGTCACACCACACACAGCGAGATGCCACTTAGATCTGATCGATCAAATCTACCAAGAACTATGTAGTAAGAGCCTGCCGGATTAGATACACGCTGAATGATTTGCTTAGCTGGAACCTGGCACTACTTAGTTATCAGTAAAGGCCACTGATGGTCTGCCAATATTACCCAACAACTACATAGCACAAAGGTCTATCTAAACAGTGCAGTCACATTGCGGGTAGAGGACCCTCACTTTGTACAGTTGCTGCTACAAACAGATCACATATGACCAGCTCTATGATCAGTACTACAATAATAAAACAAGCTTAAAAGAGCAATATTTAAAATATTTATCAGTTGCCCTCTTAGCCCGTGGTCAGGTGCTGCTTGGTTTGGCATGGCTACCTCTTGCAGCATTAGGTAGGTGAAGTTTTAGGGAGTTAGTTAAAGTACAACTAAAGGCTCCAACAGTCTAAACAAGCACCAGATTCATGCCATGTCATGCAAAACTTCCTTTACCCTACCTGACTGACCCATTTGTGTCTTACATGCCCCTCTCCTTGACACTGCAGCTTGTTACAATAGGAGGTGCACAGCAGCAGAGGCAGTGCCGTCAATCCAGAAAGCAGAGGGGAGAACTAGATGTGGCCAGGTGCTGACTGACAATCTACAGGCTTGTGAATCAGCAGTGACAATATTATTCAGCAACTGAGCAATACCAGTCACCACTAGGGTACATAGAAAACAATTGTGCCCCATAAACACCAGAGGGGTGCGTTGTGCAGAGTGGTGCACTGTAAAAAACCTCAGTGCTGTACACTCACTCTGCTGTGCGGAGACCTGAATGGAGTGAACACTTTGTACACTCCAAACAAACTTAAATAAAAAGTAAACGATATGATGCACTGAGACGATTCATCACACCGCCCACCTACCAGACCTATCACACCACACTAGCCCAAATGGTAAAACAGTCTGATATGGAAATGTCACTGCTGTGAGGTCTCACTATGTCACATCAACATAAGATCTCCTGAGTTTGCAATGACCTTCCTGATCTGCATACGTGTTCCAGGTCAGTGAGTCACAAAGTACTAAAGCCCGTGATCATGAGCAAACGCACCAGTACCAAAACAGCTCCAAGCACAGATGAGTCCTTACCTTGACATCAATGTCCTTGCCCCCTGGTGACCCGTGCAGGAAGAAGTGAGAGATCTCTGGGCTTAGACCGGTCTCCATTTGTTTGTACATCTGGTAGCAGGTCTCTATTAAGGACACGGCGGTCTCCATGTGGTCACTTGTGATGCCGTTGTGGGCACCCAATGCCAGAGTACCAGGAAGGAAACACACCAGATGATCCTGTGAGCAGAAACCAACATTAGAATTACACAGCAGATGTCATTCAATTTAAATGATCTTACAATGACAATTATATTGCGAATATATAGGATATAGGTTTTTTTTTTAGTGCTCGTTTATTTGTTAACTTTATTGAAATGTCGCAAAATGACATTTCATTCATTCCTATGCATCACAACATGGCTGCAGTGCTGGGAAGCACGGGAACGTCGGGTGAGCGGCTTTGCAGACTGCTTTACAGCCCACCTCAAAAGCAGTGTTGTGGCATGAAAAGGGCACATAGAAAACAATTCTGGCATTGAGCTTGTATTGATCTGTGCAGATCGATGCAGCCCAACTAAACTGGTGTGAAAGGGTGCTTACTATATACTTGCATGCATTTATATACATACAATCTTTCTCTACAAAGAACTGCCCAAGCATTATGGATTTTCAGCACAAATTGGTTCCCATCAGACACTCAGCTGCACCTGAGGCGAGTGCCTCACTCGCCTCATGGTAGCTACAGCCCTGCTTGAGGGTAAAAGTATAGAGAGGAATGCCTATAACGTGTACACGCGTTAGTTTCTAAAGCACAGAGAAATCCAGATTAAGGTCTCACAGAGTCGCTGGGGAACAGACAGGTGGAGCTTCATGGGATACTCCCGCCTTAATCAAGGAGTGAGGCCAACGGGTTCCGATACAGGATAGAAAGTACAGAAACCTGACCCTTGATTGCGCCAACAGCCATATGCTGGTCCAGACCCAGCTGTTGGAAAGAGAGAATTCATCCCACGGAGAAACTCCTGGGGTGGAACTCACACCAAGTGAAGTAGGCCTTCCACGTCCAATGATGGACCATGTGGAAAGTAAACTTTCTACCTTGAACATCATTGAGATCACCGACTCAGAGATGTCCCTGTCCCTTAGAACCTAGGATTTAACAGTAATGCCTTTAAAGCCAGGAACTGCAGGGAGGCAAATCAGTCCTTAGGACAGAAGACCCTGACGATCTGGCAGTGCTAGGGCTGAAACAACTAGTCAATAAAATCAATAATTGAGATTGAGAATCAGTCAATTATTGTCGATTATTCGGCATGCCATCCGCCTTGGCCAATCCACAGCAATGAGGATCACTGGAATGCCCTCCAACTCGATCCTGCAAGCAGATGAAGAATTATCATCAGGTGAGGAAAGACAGAGCATGGAGTGTACAAATCATACAGATCCACCAGAGAATCCCAGTACGTGGGCCCATGGCTAGCGTCTGCCAATACCATAGTTGATATACCGTGATGTCTTGTTGGTGACTTATTTCCCATTGATGCTGTTTGTTTCCTTTTCTGATACTACTGCTTTCTTTGCTGCAGTACCTTTTTATACATGGTAACTGAAACAATAATGCTGGCGACTGGATCTTGGTTTCTGTTTATTGTTTTGTACTTTTTTGGGGGAAAAAAAAAACAGCTTAAAAAATAAAAAGAGAATCCCAGTACGTGGGAAAACATATCCTGTATGTTGCTGAACCTGGAAGCCAGGATGCCTACATCCAACTACTTCACCTACAACACAAGTACTAGAACACCTCCGGGGGTAGGAGCACCTCCCTGTCAGCTGTCTACACCTGGGTTGTACAAGGCTGATGAGGCTGGGACCTGAAGTTCTGCCCTGAAAAGGATCCAATCTAACTTTTTAAACCGCAGTAAGACCTCGGCTTCCTCCCTAAACATTGATGTAAGCCACCACCATATCGCTGATAAATCCCACTACAGTATACTTCCAGGCTGCTTGGATGCAAGTGCTGCGGGTCTCATAGACCTCAATGCCGCCCCAGGCTTTGTTTTTCTAATGGTCAGGAAGAGAAAAGGCGGAGACAGGACCAGACCTGCAGTGCTTACATCTAAGCACCCCAAAAGTACAGGAGGAGCTGTAGTAATCCCAGCATGTAACTGAACAGATGCGCCATATGTAAAAGAGTCTGCATGACGAGGAGTGGCTTTTGAGGCAAAAAATAATGTATAACTGCTTTAACGTTGGTAGGTTTATTGTGGCTTTAAACACAGCAGAGCAGAAGAAAAGAAAAAAAAAAAAGACATCCATCCTCCTAGGACACTAGCAATAAAACGAGGCATGCTGGTAATGAGAGGGGTTATCTTGGGCTGCTGTATAACTCAAACCCGGTTACAGAGTTCCTGTGTCTCTCAATGAATAAGAAAGAAAAGATGTAGAAAACAACTATATATTCCCTTTAACCAACTGCTTTCCACAGGCCCCATACTACTGGGGGTACATATCCTCCCCCTGGCATTCCTAAAGTGAACCTGTTGTTTGCCCATGCATGACAAGGCAGTAGGTTCCCTTTACTGCTGGCCACAACCAACTACTTGCCTTCAATCACTTCATATTCCATTTAGCTGCAGGAATCAAGAGAGTGTAAGCCCAGTACAATCTCAGACACAACATGTTTACACAGGAAGTAGGACTCTATCCTCGCCCCATGTGATATGTAAGTGACACGTGCCTGAGCAGCCAATCATTACCTCGATCACGTGGAAGGGAGATTGAGTCACATGCTCGCACCAATACCTGGAAGTATCGGATATTTTCCTTTGTTGCTAGAGAGTATACGGATGGGTGAGTAAGCAAACAGAAGGCAAGAACTGTTGGTGGGGACAACATAAAAGTGAACCTGTTGCTTTGCCTTGCAAACCATTGCTTCTCCTTAAGGTTATGAAAGCATATACATGACTGACACTTTCAGCAGGATTTATTCAACTTATTGGAACCTTTTATGAGTGAAGGGAGATGCCGGGGAATGTGAAGCACATAAAGAAAACACGCAAGCAGCAGAACTTACCATTTTCGGGCTGAAGTGGCCATGAGACAGCTCTCCCACAAAAGTCAGTCCGCTGGGGTGCGACTTCCGCAGCAAATTCTTCTTGACCCCCTCAATGGCCTGCATGTAATCCTCCAAGAACCTGCAGATAAACACCCAGAATGTGATCTATAAACCTGTCATGGTCAAGTAGCAACCATAAAGATTGAGATTCTATATATCTTTTTTTTACATGGCTCAACAAGACACAAGCAATATGACACATGACTCCATCAATGAGGAAAACTTATTAGGACGGTCACACAGTCTTTGTGGATATGCTGCAGTGTACCATTGTGTCACCCAAACAAACAACCTAATGGTTGGAGCTCCTTAGTAAAGGAATTTGACACTTTAAGGCTACATAAACATCACTGTGCGAGTGGTGCGGTGCATTTTTAGGTGGAGAAGGTGTACAAGGTCTACAGCAACAATTCCCAAACTCCATCTCACTGGTTGCTTATAGCCTCCTGCTTGCTGTAAACCAGCCCCTGCAATGAGAAGGCCCTGCAGGATGGCACCATTCTTCCCATAACTGATGTGACATTTTTTTCTTTATTTCCACCAATGCAGGGCTATGTTTTACTCCAAGTGAAGAAGAGGTATTTATTACCCCCCACTGATTTGGGGACATTTTTTACTCCCAACAGCTCAGAAATATTTTTATTACTTCTACAGGCTCCCCAACACGCTCACTAACAGTGAACTGGCCGTTTGTTTAAAAAGGTAGAAGATCCCTGGTCTATAGAGTTGATCTCCCAATAACCACTAAGCTAAAAACCTGACAGAGGAGTATAACTGCCAACTGGGGTGAAAAATTCACTGTGGTGTCCCCAAATACAGCGAGTGACAAAAACATTGATTATCCACTTTTCTGAAGGCTGCTTACGTAGTCTCTTTCTTCCCACTTTGGATCCACTGCTTCAATAGGTACTCATAGTAGCTGTCAGCTCGGGCTCCCAAAGTGAAGACTCCAAGGTGGGTGAACTGCCCGCTGTTCGTGTTAATGAACATGGGCACCAGGCCGTCCCGTTTCCCAGAAAGAGTATGAACATGCTGGGTGATATGGTCCACCACATTCTAGAGATGAAAAGTCCATCAGAAACCACATCAAACAATGACCAAAAAATAGATGAAAGCTTTAGAAAAAAAGTAATGTACCTTGAAGGTTTCATCTCCCGTCAGTCGCGACAACTCCCGGAACTCCAGCTGGACACTGGTGACTTCAGCCACTGTGCTGTCTGAGGTCCAGCGTGGTGGGTGGGCAGTTCCTTTCCCAATGTTCACGTCAGAGTAAGGCACCTTGGACGGGGTGTTGAAAGCTGGCAGCAGACGAGTGCCAATATCTTTCTAAAGTCAGAAAAGATGGCTTATAACTGATATGGGTGAAGGCATACTCCACAGATATCCATCATTAACATTTTAAGGCCTTTTACTCATGCTGGGCATCACTATGGGAATTCAAGGTAGAAATCCCTCATCTGTTTAGGACCCATTCAGATTTGATATGCTATATTTACCAACAGTCACCAGCAGGTAGCAAGTCTCACCAGAAAACTAATTGCCTGAAAGTCTCAAAAATGCTGCTCAGGTCTCTTCTTCTCACAAAGCCGACTAAACCGGTCTAACCCCACTAGCTAATAGCTGCAAGCAGTGGCTGCTTCCGGGAACTTCTGTGCTTTCTGAACATGAGTTCCCACCTCCTATCATCTAACAGTGGGCACCTCCGCGTGCCTGCTCACATCTTCAGATAAATCTACAGCCTCTGTGGTCACAATCTGGCACTCCTCTTTTCAAACTTCGCACTACCTACTGGCCCACAAGGTCAACCATCGCATTTGGTGGTCAACAGGAAGGCTAGGAGGGTGAGAGGAAAGACGGCAAACACAAAAACACTGTACTAGACAATGAAAATAACAAACTGACAAAGATATATTGTGATATTGCTTTAAGGGAAAAAAAAGGGGCAAGCAATGGTGCAGAACAGTACCGCTTTTTCCAAGAAGAGAGAGTCTTGGGTCAGGTGATAGGTGCTCAGCAGTCCTCCCAAGATCCGAATCGTACTCTCAAAGAGATTGACATCAACATTTTTATCAAACGTCAGTGTGGTGGCCACCCACTCCCGTGCCTCCTGAAACTCTGAAACAAAATACATTCTGTGACACTACCAGTACACTGATCTCAGGCAGGACCCAAACATGATGCAAACAGATATTCAGTAAAGTAATGCTTTCAAACTATGCAGTGTGCACAGGTTTAATAAAGGTTATTGGAAAACAAGTAGGCAGCCATGGCTGAGCTCTTCTTCTGAAAAAGTTAGTTGTGTGGCCATCAACCTGACCCTCTTTGTTTCTTTGAGGTCTGACTTTTTCCTGACTTGCCTTAGCCAAATACTTTCCCCACTTCCAAATCTCCTATACCTGGACAGAGGGTCAGCGTACATTACCGTCAGGCAGCCAGCATTTTGCAAGGCAGTAACGGTAGGTGTCCTAAGACAGGTTTACTCATGACAAGTCAGCGTGACTATGTCCAGTATCCACAAAATCACCCACCACTTTTATTATTTTCTCTGTATAAAAAAAATGTCACCTCTATAGAGCATAAAATAATAATAAATTAAAAAAATACCCCCAACTTGTGCTAGACACCCCCAGGTTACCTTCCGGTTACCTTTTCACTGCGCTGCCCAATCTCCAACACCACCCTCGAAAAAATAACAAGCAATTGACAATCCCTACTATATGACAATGCTAAAGCCTGTTGACTGGTCACTTACCAAGTAAAGGGAAGTACAGGCACCAGAGGGAGAACGGCACAGCAAGCTCTAAGCCTAAGGTGTAATCTGGTTGTACGATCTCCATTAGATATACCAACAACTATGTAGTATGAAAGCGTGCCTGACTGGATGCAAATGGAATGGACTGTTTAAGTTGGTCTTCCACAACATCGTTTTGGTAGATGTAACAGAGATTGTATAATCAGTTTGTGATCAGCTTATTCCTCAAGACAGTCAGTAACATCTCATTTCTACACACTAAAAGCAGGTCACTATATCCCAATACCTGCAATTTTGTCAGAATAAAAAAAATAATTGGGGTGTCCATGGGGTACTTCAAAGCATAAAAAGCCTGCTGGACTTCTACCAGCTATAGGCTGGGTTGGAAATTCTCATCAGGTAGCCTATTGAACCGCTAAGAGAGGAGAGGTGGGTCTTAGGATTTTACAGGAAAAGACACAAATTACAAGTTGCTTCAATGAGGTTAGATCATGTCCACCAATCACTGATAACACTCACCTTCTTTTAGGCCTAATATCCACATGGTATCAAGAGCATCTATGAGTGTGAGTCCAAGTCCAAACCATTCACTGTAAGCCTTGGAGATCGGTTTCAGCTCGTCGTGACCCCATGCAAACTCCTTGTACCCCTTCCAGGCATGTTGAAACGCTTCAATCACTGCTTCCTGGCGTTCATTGATAGGAACTAGAAGGTGATCAAAAGTTAGCAATTCACTGGTCTAGTGTGACCCAAACAACCTTTGTAGGTCTAAATACCACAACACAACGTTATCTGCACTGAATGACGGTACACTGACCAGGAACCCATCCTCCAACTCACACTCTTCTCTACATTCCTGAAGTGTTTGTTAGTTTTTGGTTTCATAAATTGGCGTGATGCTTTGAAAGAAGGAAAATTGGTGCAGAAAATATTTTTACCTGTATGTGTCACAGTCTAGAACGCCTGTAATAATAATGTATCTTATGTAAAAAGGTTTTAGCAGCTTACAATATAATTAAGGCCCCACCCTAGGCTGCTGGTAAATCTAACCATGCAGTGAAGTACCCTTCCATGGAGGGGGAAAAGAAAGCAGTACAAATGCTATCCTTCTTTTCCCAGCAGCCAGGGCTCGCCTACACTCACAAATGTTCCAGTATATAGTACGACCTCACCGTCCTGCATTGTATGTGATGACGTCAGAGAGCCGAGACCAGCCAGGCAGTGAAGTGGCTTTGGGGGACTGTTGGTACACTGGGGATAAAGCTTGCTCAAGCAAGGACTAAGGAAAGCATTTGTCTTTATTCCTTCCCCCTCTAGCCAAATGAGCATTTAACCCCATGTAGTGCGGAGGGGTCCTCATTCCATGTAAATTTAACAACATCCTGGATTGTTTTTGGATAGGAGTGGAAAAGAGTTATTTTTTTGCTGGCAGGGGTCCTGCAGTGCTAACATGCTCCCTCGATATTGCCGACATCTTTGTACTGTCTTCTTCTGGGTTCGGCATCTTCAGCCATTTTGGATGGCCTGCTCAGGATGACATAACTCTTGCACATGCACACAGGAGCTAATTTAAGCCACCACAAAGGCATGCTGAGATTGTACATGGAGCTGTGCATGCACAACTCAATGTACAATTTAAAGAAACTTGCAAGCAGGCAGGTAAGCAGCATACAGGGTCTCTTCAGCAATCAAAGCCTTTCTGCTAGCACTAAAAAGAAGTGCAAACACCTTCCTGAAAACTTGCCCAAAGCTAAAACCTGATTGGTTCCTGTACATTATATCATTAATAATCTACATTACGTAAACAAACCTCACAGTGTGTATGACTTCAGCTGGTAAAGGACAAAAAAGTGCAGCACACCATACCAATCACATAGCGGTGGAGGAGTTAAAGTTGTCAGAAGGTGGCTTCTGACAAGGCATGCTGAGACTGATAGTTCTACCACAGCTAAAAAAAAAAAAACACGGTTGGCCTGCTCTAAATGATGATGATGTGTCTCACAAAGAAAATACCTGGATCCTTCTGATCTACAACGTCTTGGGCACGGGGTTTTGTGGCTTCTGGAACTTTGTTTGGAGGCGGTCCTGAGGTCTGGGCTGGTTCAATCACGGCTCCCCTCCAGCTGTATACAAACACAAATATGATGCTGAGAACGACATAATGGTCACACACGCCTAGCATTCCAGAGAAGAAAAAATGCTTCATGTAGAACAAATAGAGCGACGAAAACTGGTAGTGCTTGCTTTTATCATAATGTAGATGGGTGTTTTTTCGGAAAGTGTTCTGCTGGGATGCGGCACTACTCAAACACATGAATTGCTCCAAATGCAGTACATGTGAGGGTAGCAAGTCCCAGAACTGAAGCTGTGTTTGACCTGTTTTTTTTTCCTGCGACTGAGCAACTCTGGAAGTGGCAGAAACAGATTTCAAATGGGACCAGCTCTGTTCACAAAGCAGGTCAAATGCAGCCTCACATTAGTCATCCACAGAACACAAAGTAAACTGAAATCAACAGAACTGCAATTAAAGTGAGCTTCAAATGGAAAAACAAGGCCCATCTACACAAGCCCTTCCTCTAGCATTTCAGGGTAAAAACAAAGTGTGGGTGAGAAAATATATCCTCACATGGTCAGAACTTCATTCAAGTATCTTCATGTTACTATTAACTCATTAACATATAAACTAAGCCATATCATGTCACTGCATCCATTTAGAGTGGAGCAGATGACATAACAAGTCCTGGTGACTCCAATAAGAACTGACAGCTCTCCCACTGCCTGTTGCTCTCAGCTAGATATGTGCCTATCTATTGCTGCAAAAGATAAACATTTGGTATGCAATGCTTCCAGTTCAGGAATCATGATACAGGATCAGGAGAGGTCTTTCTGCCTAATGCATTACCTGTCGTGATACAGAACCTGCAGATGTCTCACCACCTGTCGTGATACAAAACCTGCAGTTGTCTCACCACCTGTCGTGATACAGAACCTGCAGATGTCTCACCACCTGTCGTGATACAAAACCTGCAGTTGTCTCACCACCTGTCGTGATACAGAACCTGCAGATGTCTCACCACCTGTCGTGATACAAAACCTGCAGTTGTCTCACCACCTGTCGTGATACAGAACCTGCAGATGTCTCACCACCTGTCGTTATACAGAACCTGCAGATGTCTCACCACCTGTAGTGATACAAAACCTGCAGTTGTCTCACCACCTGTCGTGATACAGAACCTGCAGATGTCTCACCACCTGTAGTGATACAAAACCTGCAGTTGTCTCACCACCTGTCGTGATACAGAACCTGCAGATGTCTCACCACCTGTAGTGATACAAAACCTGCAGTTGTCTCACCACCTGTCGTGATACAGAACCTGCAGATGTCTCACCACCTGTAGTGATACAAAACCTGCAGTTGTCTCACCACCTGTCGTGATACAGAACCTGCAGATGTCTCACCACCTGTAGTGATACAAAACCTGCAGTTGTCTCACCACCTGTCGTGATACAGAACCTGCAGATGTCTCACCACCTGTAGTGATACAAAACCTGCAGTTGTCTCACCACCTGTCGTGATACAGAACCTGCAGATGTCTCACCACCTGTAGTGATACAAAACCTGCAGTTGTCTCACCACCTGTCGTGATACAGAACCTGCAGATGTCTGACTGTTTGGCAGGCCATATATCCATAGTATTGTGCTCCCACATAAAACTGGATTTCAGCAGTGCCTTTAGATTAGACCCCAATTGTCTACCTGATGACGGGCTCGTTGTTTTCAGCCTCTGCTGGCCTCTGCTCATTGTCTTCCACTGTTTGGCTCTTGGTAGGAGGTGGATGTAAATTTGGTGGTCCGCGCTTGTTTGGTCTCTTATTTTTCTAGATGACGGAACACAACATATTTTAGTGTCCAAATAAAGAAAAGAAAATGCACCTGTTGAAAGTGATAATGGAATTCCAAACAGGAATTTCACATTTGCTCACATTTATTCCATTATAGAAACATTCTAATGAGTCTAAACCACATACATGTTACACAAACCTTGCCCGATACAGCCATGTGGTTTTTGCTGCCGTTACTTGGAAAGCTCCCACACATGGGCCGACCACTAAGGCACTGGACAGGGCAATGGCCAGGCTTAAGCACGGAAAAGTCAGGCCCTGGTTACAACGTGCAACTAAACCAGAGAGGGGCACAGATAGTCACATTTCTGGCTAATAAAAGGTAACAGCAGGCACTATATAGACCTCTCCCTGTGCCCAGATTATGGACATTTGTACCTGGATACAAATGGCCCAGGCCTGTGAAGAGCTGCAGACGGTGGCTGCGGCCATTGTACTGCACAGTGCCTCCCAACCCCAGATGAACACGATTCTCACAGATGAATTTGTGAGACTTATGCAATTGGCTCCATTTGCAAGTGTGAATCTGGCCTAAACTGTTCACATATACTTAACATTCAATAAAATAGCTTTAAACAAGCCCTCAATGACTTCTCTAGCTGCTAAATAATCACAACAAATACTTTATAGTGATTTTCAGCCATTTCTAACAGCTGAGTTTGGAAATATCTGCTGTGTGATTACATTAGAGGGCTGGCAGCCCACCAAGATTTTGCTGCAATAGAAAGTAATGAGAAGAGAGCTAAGATTTCAGTACTTACGTTTCGAGCTTTGAAGATGGTGAATGAGGGCTGGTTTCAAAGCGCTTTTACTACTTGTTAAGAATATGGACATACTTCAGTATGCATAGCCTGGGCACATTTAGCATATTTGCATATTATGGCAAACCTACTTGCCAAAGGGAACCCTATAGTGCTGGGACAGCTGCAATCTGACTCATAACTCTGGTACTGTCACTGACATGTGAGCCCTTTACTTCAGAATGTATACTTGTGTGGCTTAGTCTACATTCAGAAGACACATTAAAGTGACACTAAACTCAGAAACACATTAAAGTGACACTAAACTCAGAAGTGAATTCTTAAAAATGCATTCAAGTACCTTAACTATTAACAGAAATTCATCTTATTTGTGTATCACTGAAAAGCCGCTGATGACAGCTAATAACAGAAATTCCGGGCTCCAGGCATGGATCTGTGTCTCCATCGGTCCCCGCTGCTCTACCCCGCTTGTATGGGCTGAGGCAGCGGGGATCTGAATAGAAACGTCCCCAACGTCCGTTGACAGCTCTGTGGTCTTGCCCATGGTGGTCAGGTTTGAATGGAAGAAAGAGATTCTGTGGACCGGTGTCTTGTATATACAGAACGAGTTGTCGTTAGGAGCACCTTCTAAAATTGACAGGACTAATCTGTGTACAGGTGCCCATACACCTGCCTATTATCGTATGATAATCACGGGAAATCCCGCAATCGTACGATAATCAGCAGGTGTATGGAAGGCGTGCGACTGTTTCTACTGTACGGTCGCACGTCTTTTGTCTCCCGAGCAGGCTCGAAAACCTTCCGAGAATTGTACGATTGTCGGCCAGTTATTGGCGTCCTCGGGATACAAATGCTGCACGGTGTCGTGCGATGGTTGTAAAGTGTATGGCCAGCTTACCACATAGCCAGCATGTGGGAGGAGCCAGAATTATTGTTGGTTGGTAGGGGATCAAATACTTATTTTACTCACTGACCTGCAACTCAATTTATCACATTTATATCATGTGTTGTTTCTGGATTTTTGGTTGATATTCTGTCTCTATCATTTAAAATACACCTATGATAGAAAATGATAGACCTTTCATTTCTTTGCAAGTGGGCAAAATTTCAAAATCTGCAAGGGATCAAATCACTATTTTCATCACTGTAAGAAATACATATTCTTTAAAATATAGCCCCTCCCCCCAGACCAAAGATGACACGGCACCTGCAGAGGTGGTTTTGGTAGCTTGAGATCTGGATCCTCAGCTTCTTTGTGTGCGGGTAATCCTGCAGGTTGTACTGGATTAATTCCGGGCAAGTCTTGGCCTTCATAGGTCCCATCCAACTGGCTGGTAAAACCTGAAAAAAGCAAACATTGGCAACAATCAAATAGAGGCTGTTTCTAACCTGCTCCTTACCCAAACCATGCGTTTGCTTTGTGGCTTTGCAACATTTAATAATGTTCATAACACACTATGATGGAGCAGACATTTCACACAGTGCATCTCAGAGACTAGTTTCCAAATTTATGGATTTAGGGTGCTTCTACGGTGTGCCCAGGAGACAGCACAACTATAAGGTCAGTATGCCAAGTCCCTTGTGGACAGGTATACATCCATAACAGAGATACTCTATTTTTATATTGCAAAGTCTAAGAGAACATTCCAAAGGAGGCCAAAGATATAAGTGCTGCTAAAGCACAGAAAAAGGAAACGGCTAAAACCAACAAGAAAGGAGACAAAACCTTATTTTTTTTTTTAGGTACAGACACTCCTCGGTTTACGATAGGGTTACGATCCAATAAGCACATCGCAAGGCAATCGTATGTAAACTGACAAGTGTACTGTACTGCGTTGTCGGCAGCAGAAAGTACACAATGGGGAACAAAAGCTAGACTGCTGTTGGCTTTTGCAATAGCAGACCGACTATTGAAACCTCACCCACTAAGAGGAGTGGACCCGAGAAAGTTTCCTCTCAGGTCCGCTCCTCTGCTCTGCCAGCCTGCTATTGGCTACTGCAATTTGCTATAGCCAACAGCAGTCTGGCTATTGCTCCCGGCTTCTTCCATTCGTCTTCCCACCGCGGAAGCTAGCCAGCAGGTGAATGGGGAAGCAGGGCACCTTGGAGATTACTTTCAGAAACTACAGTTATCCGGCACCTAGCAATCCCAGTAGGTGCCAAATAACTGGGAGTCTACTGTGCAGTACTATACAGTAAACTCCATCGTAAATGTGAAAGATCCTAACTCGATCGATCGCAACCTAAGGAGCATCTGTATATCAGTAACAGGAAGAAAAGATTGTATAGGATCACAAAAATAAAAGCTGTGTACAATCTGTTGTAGACCTGGATGTAACAAACCAGAAGGAACTCCAAAGTTCTGAAAAGTAAAGCACAATAAAAACAAATTGGAGGATCATATTGGTTCTAGTGGTGAAGGTTCATTTTCAGGAGTACTAAAGGCAGATGTAGCAGAGCTTAAAGCTTTAAAAAATCCATGGATCCCGATAGCATTACCCAAGGGAACATTAGAGAATGGTCCTACTATACCTAAATATTTGTGATGAACCTCTTCTAACAGGAAGTTCCTCAGGACCGGCGGACAGCTAATAGTGTAGCTAACCACAAGAAGGGGAAAAACAAAAAGGCTGGCAGCTACAGACCAGTGAGTTTAGCACTTGTATTAGTAAAATTAAAGTGACAGTAAACTCAGGAGTTAAATCTTAAAAATACATTCAGGTATCTTAACTAACAAAAAATGTATCTTGTTTATGTATCACTCGGCTGTAGATCCTCAAATCATCTCTGAATTGGTGCTGACACTGTCCTTGGTCCCTGTGTGTGTTATAAAGTAGCCACCGCTCCAAGCTCACTCCCATGATGGACTACAATCTCACGTTTAGTTTACTAATTTGCACTGAGATTGTAGTCCATGGCGGGACTGAGCTTGGAGCGGTGACTACTTTACAACACCCACAGAGATCATGAGGAACAAAAGTAGCCACCCTCTAGAAGGAAGGACAGTGTCAGCACCAATTCAGAGATGATTTGAGGATCTACAGCCCAGTGATACACAAATAAGATACATTTTTGTTAATAGTTAAGGTACTTGAATGCATTTTTAAGATTTAATGCCTGAGTTTAGTGTCACTTGAATTAGAATCTCTCCTAAAAAGAAGAAATAATCATTATTTAAAAGAAAAAACATACAACTATCTGGACCCAAAGCAGTATGACTTTGCGGGGGGAAGACTAGTCTGACATTTCTGACAATGTTACAAATGTTTTGGCCCAGAGTGGTGCTGTAAACATACATGTGAGCATACATGTGAAGCCTAACTTGATTTCAGCAATGCATTTATTACAGTTCCACATATCGATCTTATAAAAAAATCTGTACAAGCTAGGACTTAGGTGGTTCAGTGGTTGGCGGAAGGATAGATATCAGAGTGTGATTGTAAATGGGGATCATTGGGAGCAGAGACCACTCACAAGAAATGTATTATTTGCTGATGACACAAAAGGTTTTCAATGGGGTTGGGATTCCTGGGAGGTGTTTGTAACATAAAACAAGATTTGGCATTGCATGGAGATTGGTGAAAGCAGTGCAAACTGCAGCTCGACATTTCTAAAATGCAAAATAATGCACTTAAGGAAAAATACTCATCTGACAAAGCACACTATTGGGGTACAGAGTCAGTCAGAGCTACAGAGGATAAAGATTTGGGGTGCTTACTTCAGATAATTGAAAAATGTGGCCTGACAGTGGGGAAAGCAAACAGAATTTTGGGGTGCAGTACTAGAGGGATCACCAGTGGGATGCCCCTACATAGTTCTTTGGTCAGACCCCCAATTAGAATACTGTGTCCAGCTCTAGAGATCTTACTTACAAAATATATTGGGAGAACAAGTCCAGAGATGTGCAACAAAAATGGACAGAGGTTTGAGGAAAAGAACATATCAGGAAAGGCTGCAGGTACAGCCTTGAGAAAACAAGGAAAAGGGGGGACATGAGTGAAACCAAAGGCTAAGGCTGTCAGATTGATGAGATTTGTGTATCTGATGTAGAGCATTCCTCCTCGTTCTGTTCACATTTCCTGCCATCGTGCAGTCCTAATGATCCGAGTTGTAATTACAACCTGTGCAGCTGTTCACATGGAAACCTTGTACTTCCCTGTATCTAACACCACATTTATGCAGTATTAGTCATGCTGTACAGGGGATTATACGAGACCGATATACACCCCATCAATCAGTGATTTGTTAGGAACACCTGATTATTTATCAATTATCTAATCAGCCAATCATGTTAGAGCAGAACAATGCATAGAACCATGCAGATCCAGGTCAGGAGATTCAGTTACCATCAAACACTAGAATGAGGAAAATGTAATCTCAGTAATTCTAACCATGGCATGATTGTTGGTACCAGACGGGCTGGTTTGGCTTTGAAAATTGACCGGGCTATTCACTAAAGGGTGAAGAGTTAGGACAAGTGAACAGCTCACCTTTCCAGTTCAGCGATGTTGTCCTAGATTGTTCAGTTCTCTTGCCTTCTCCTAACTCTTCACCCTTTTGTAAATAGCCCTGTAAGAATTTACTCAGAATGGGGATTTCTGCAGACAGAAATGCATGTTGATGAGAGAGGTCAGAGGAGACTGGTCAGACTGGTTGGAGCTGACAGAAAGGCTCCGGTGGCTCTGTACAACTGGTGAATAGACAACACATGGAACCTTGAGGCTGCAATCACACCTGACCGCTTAAGCTGGCCATACACCTTACAATTTATCTGCAGATTGTCTGTGGTCAGATGGAAAAAGTGCAACAGATTCCTCCATCTACACTAAACTGTGTGGATGGAGTAATCTCCAACTGGGCCAATCTGTTGCACTTTACAGGTGATTCTGGAGTGTTTTGATTTGTACCTTTTTTAGGAACATTTAGGCTTATACATTTTTGCTGTCGCCATTGGAATGCTAGCTACTAGAAGATTGTCTAGCCTTGGTGCACTCAGGAGCTTCCATGTAAGCCTTGCATTCCCATGCGGCCATCGCATTGCGGCAGGAGGGCATGGCAACAGTGCCATTGAGTTTAATGCACCGCCACACAACAATGCGATCCAGTACGTTCCGGCCAGAATCGGGCCGGAATGCGCTTTGGCTAGGGTGAACTAGCCCTCAACGGTAGCTCATGTGCCTTTCTGAGTTTCAGGTGTAGCTATAGACGCCTGAGCATCCATATGTGAACAGACCGAACTGAAAAACATGGTGCTTTGGTTGTTGAGCACTTTGGAGCTTTGGGTGTCAAGCAACAAAGATGTTCAGATGTGATTGAAGTCTGAGGCAGATGACCTACAACAGCAGAAGAACATATTGGGTCCCACGGCTGTCATCTAAGAAAAGAAAGGTGACTCTGTATGGGGGCTCAGCCTCACCAAAGCTAGGGAGTGAAGGACTGGAAAAAATGTGACTGGTCTGGAGAATCTGAATTTCCCATAAGGCACACAGATTGTAAGCCGGTTATTGGATCTGAATCCCACAGAAAACGTTTGACATGTGGCACAACGGAAGATTCGCAACATGAGTGTGCAGCTGACAAATCTGAAATCCTGTGATGCAATCATGAACATGGACCAGGATCTCCAAGGAATATTTGTGGAATATGGAATCCATGCCCTACCTACCTAATATTATTCAGGATGTATATAGCGCCAACAGTTTGCGCAGCGCTTTACAATATAAGGAAGACATTACAGTCACAATATAATTTAAGACAAGATGGTAAGGAGGGCCCTGCCCCTGAGGGCTTACAATCTAAAAGGGAGGGGGAAGTGATACATGAGGAGGTAGCTGTGTGGGGATGAATTGTATGAGAACGGGATGGTTGAGTAGTTAGGATGAGGTGGGATAGGCTTCCCTGAAGAGATGAATCTTTAGGGAATGCCTAAAGGCAGTCAGAGTAGGAGATATCTTAGTATACTAGTGATCCTGATAGATTACACGGTGGATATATAGGTGCTATTTAAAGAACGCATAACTGGAATAATTACGGGTCTCATGTCTGCCAACAGCTTTCAAGACATTTGAAACATCTGTCCTCAGTTGAGCAGAGAACGCACAGTACATACTGTACATACATCCAGTTATCAGCCCCCCGGAGCTGACAGTCAGGTTTCATACAATGAGCACACCTTGCCTAGAAGGGAATTCTGACAATGGACTATGAAATCTAAAAAGAAATTACTTCTCCAGTGCTCTCCCAGGTTAGAGAAAGAGACGACACCACACACGGCCAGCAGGACGCACAGGAAGAGGATGACACTGCGCTGCAGCCTAGAAAGCTGCTTCCATTTCTACGAGATAAAACAGGAAACAGATTAATAAATACTCAGCGGAAAAAGAAGACACAAAGTCATCACAGATCAACCCCCAGCCCTTCCTGTGTCCATAACATCACACAACGGAGACCCTCGGTTTTGAATATACAATCAAAGATTGAGCAACTTTCACTTCTGCACAAGTGAAACATTTATCTAAAGGGCTGCTACATAGAATGGCCACAAACTGCAAGAAGAGAACCTGTCATTGCCTCAAATCTTCTATAGCAGATATGACATTGGGGCGTATAGTCATCTTCTAACCTAATTGATACCTCCTCCCCCACCCCGAGAGCAGTCAGCCAGCAGTAACATGCGAGTCCTGCAGATATTAGATCGTCACCCTGTCACACTCCTGGCCAATTCAGAGTCAGCACATGATAAAAAGAAATGCAAAGCAGATACAGAGATACAGGAAATGATTTGCAGGTTTTGATTTTACTGATAAAATTCTTGTTTGGCCCCAGTGTCCAAGACTTCCTAACCGTTCCAACAACAAACATGTCATATATTGCAGTTAATCAGTCCTCAGATGTGGAGGTTGCATTTGTACCTGGTGATCCTGCCAGTAACACACTTCCTGTCCTACTGTGACAACTTTCCTTCACTGTACTGTATCTATGGCGGATCAGAGTTGTCATGACATGAAGTGTGTTAGGACAGAAGAACACCTCTTCTTGTCTCCATTATAAATGGAGGTGTTCTGTAGTCTAGAGAAAACTCGGGCCTGATAATGTCTGAGATTTCAGAGCAGCATTTTCACTCAGTACAGGAAGTTATAAGCTCACTGGATCTCTGGCAGGATCAGCGGGTTTTTTTTACACTTATCTAACATATATAACAAAGCGCTCTCAGTGGTATATACACTACAGCTAACCTCTGCTTATGTATTTTTATCCTCATATACTCCACTTGTGTTGCCAAAGAGTGTGCCAGGTTTACACAAGCTGCCTGCAAACCTAATTAGACAATGTTTCCTTATCCCGGAGTTCAGCTTTAGATAATTTAGTTACCTTTTCCATGGACAAGGAATACGATGTATCCATTTCTGGCTGATAAATATCACAAGGCGTTCCTTCAGCCTGGAATTGTGTTCCACCTGATGGCAGCGATTATATATTGTACTGCAATCCCCTCCCTACTGACAGGTAATGTTATACCCCCAGTGCACATACACGGCCTCTACGTGTGGCTTCAGGGGCCACAAAACCAATAGGATGATGTAATACCATTGTGCACTTGTAGAGCGCAGTGACATGAACAGCAGTGAGGAACAATGACAGAATAACTGTGTACACTTCCCAGCGTTCTCTCTGCAGTCTACTGAACACAAGTACATTTTATATATCAGAACTGGTGTAAATGAAGGTGCCCAAAGCAGACACGTGTCACAGGTCCATGACTATGTATATTACATATATATGTATGTATGCAATACACCTTCCTATACTTACTACAACACAACCCCGCTGACAGGTGGAAATGGACCCCGATGGGGGGGATCGGAGAGGTCCCCAATGCTGTAAGAGGGGCCAGGTCATAAGTAATAATAGTAATAAATAATAGTAACCAGCTCATCTCCATAACCCCTCCTCCTCATCTCCACGACCCCTCCTCATCTCCACGACCCCTCCTCATCTCCACGACCACTCCTCATGTCCACTCTCCCCTCTATTTATCTCCATAACCCCTCCTCATCTCCCCAACCCCTACTTTTCTCCTCTCCATAACCCCTCATTTTCTCCTCCCCCTCCTCTTCTCCATAACCCTCCTCACCTCCTGTCAGTGAAAGCAAAGAGCACAGGAAGTGATCAGCTCACAAGGTTTCAGGTTCATTCTTGGGATTCACATACACTTTAACCCTTGAGATGGACACATTAAAATCTGATTAGGGTTGCACAGATACCAAGTACAGTACAGGGTACGAGTACATGTACCGATACTTTTGAGCTCCAAGACTAGACTAGAGAAAAATTCAAAAATTAGGAGCCAGCTGTCATTTGTAAGGAGCACACGGAGCTCCTGGGATTTGTACATCTCTATTTTAATGTACGATTTTGTTTTTATAAATAAATTGATGCACAGATACCAGTTTTGCGAGTACGAGTACTGGTACTTGCCGAGTACTTACAAGTACGAGTACTGATACATTTTTGTTTATTGCCATGTGACAGTTTTTCTAAAACAATACAGACTAAGGCCCCATTCACACTGCGCGATTCGCAAAGTGCGCGTTTGTCGCGCGATTTGCATTTTGCGCGATGCCGCGCAAATGCATTGAATCGCGGCAAAATCCGCTCCAAAAAGGGTCCTGCTGTAGCGATACACGACCCGCGACAGCAGGACCCTTTGCCCCATTGCCAAGCATTGGAGCGCGATATCGCGCGGTAAATAGCCGCGATATCGCGGGAATTACCGCGCGATAAATCGCTCAATGTGAACGGGGCCTAATGATTTCAGGACAGTGGTGGAGCGCCAGAGCCCGGTCCCAGCTGCAACTGCTGCAACCCTGGTAGTGCTCATGAAAATGCCAAGTATCTGCACTGGTACTCGAAAAGTATCTGTGCAACCCTAAATCTGATTGTACAATCTCTATTCAATCAGCTTCACAGCTACCAAATCTATGCAGCAGACGCTCCATCTAAACAACCCACTGATGGGAAACCTTCTTGGTGGGCTCTTAGCCCCGCCCACACCAGTGAATTAGACCATTTGGAAGCATTTCTTTCACACGATTTTTAGGCTCGAGTGGTTTTGTCTTCGCCAATTGAAAGCTAAGTACTAGAAGGAGGAGATGGTTGGTCAGAGCCACGTTCACACTTGACGTGGTGTTTTTCAGGTGCTCCTATTGAACGGCTGGTAGATCTACAGGTGAAACTCGAATAATTTGAATATCGTGCAAAGTTCATTTATTTCACTAATGCAACTTATGCGGTGAAACTAATATACGAGATAGACTCATTACATGCAAAGCAAGATAGTTCAAGCCGTGATTTGTCATCATTGTGATGATTATGGCTTACAGCTCATGAAAATCCCAAGAACCCCAAATCCACAACCTCAAAAAAGTAGATTATTACATGCAATCAATAAAACAAGGATTGTACATAGAACAATATCGGACCTCTGAAAAGTACAAGCATGCATATGTACTCAGTACTTGGTTTGGGCCCCTTTTGCAGCACTTACTGCAATTACTTTTGCACGATATTCGAATTATTCGAGTTTCACCTGTAAGTGAGATTGTACAATCAGATTACAAGGTGTATGTCCAGCTTTAGAAAGACTACCTGGCTTATCATTGCTCTATGTTTCATGTTATGATCTACAAGGTGTTCCCTGGTTCCTACCAAGCATCTGTATGAAGTAGGGGGAGGGGCTCAATGATACAGAGTACCCCTTCCTGTCTGGTGTCACCTTCTGGGGTCTCACTAGAAAAGTGCTTCCTGACAGTTGGGGATGACTCTTTCCTACCCGGGACCTTTGGCAGAGACGTGGATTTGGCCAGGGGGGTTCATATAGCAGGGAAATGCCTAACATATGTCCAGGGAAGCTCCTTGGGGGGTCTGAGTACAGAAGGTGGTCTCAGGTGGGTGGAGTTGTCATGTGAATGATGGCCCCTGAGGACAGGATGGCTTCCTCCCTGCCTGGTGACTCCAGTTGGGGTCTCACCGTAGAGGCTGGATAACTCTTTTTTGCTGGGAATCTTTGGCCGAGGAGCTCGGGTAGTACACACTACAGGTGGGGGAGAGACTCTAGTAGCAGGGTGGTCCCTGGCAGATGTTTGGGGTCCTTTCTTAGGGTGTGACAATACAGGTGGGGGAGGGGCTCAGGTAGTAGGGTGGTCCCTGGTAGATGTCTGGGGCCCCTCCTTAGGGGGTGACAATACAGGTGGGGGAGAGGCATAGGTAGTAGAGTGGTCCCTGGCAGATGTCTGGGGCCACCCCTTAGGGTGTGACAATATAGGTGGGGGAGGGGCTCAGGTAGTAGGGTGGTCCCTGGCAGATGCCTGGGGCCCCTCCTTAGGGGGGTGACAATACAGGTGGGGGAGAGGCTCAGGTAGTAGAGTGGTCCCTGGCAGATGTCTGGGGCCACCCCTTAGGGTGTGACAATATAGGTGGGTGAGGACTCTAGTAATAGAGTGGTCCCTGGCAGATATCTTGGGTCCCTCCTCGGAGTGTCAGACTACATGTGGGTGGAGGGGCTCAGGCGGGAGGGTGGTCACTGGCAGATGTCTGGGGTCCCTCTCTACAGGTGGGGGAGGGGTTCAGATAGTCCGTGTCAGATATAATTAACCCTTTGCTCACCCTCCAGCAGGACTTCCTCCTCCAGCTCTTGCTGTTGTTATATCCTCCGCCGGGCCCCTCCGGCTGGATGAGGGTGACGGACATAAAGTCCCGGCGCTGCGGGGAGTACATGGCCGGTTGTGCGCTATCTGGTCCCCATGTCAGTCCTCCCCCCTGAAGGAGGAGCGATGACTAGAGGGCGCAACGGGAACTACAGCCCGCGGCTGCGGCCTAGCCCTGGCTGTAAACAAGAACTGCCACGCGGGGGCCAGTGCGCATGCGCCTTGGATGAGTGACTCCGAAGAAGGCTGTCAGAGCTCCCCGCGCCGCCATCTTTACTAAGGGCACCCGCCCTCACTACTCATCATCACTTACAAGCCACCCAGCTGCTGAGAATGTAACCTGACATTGTGTGAGAGCGCCACAGAGAATTACAGCTACAGTCATTATCAAAATGGGAAACAAAAAAAGTGTATATATTTTAAATGATGCCCTCTTAAAGCTTTAATAAATTCTTAATAACTAAGGAAAAAGCATAAAAAAATGTTTATGCTGAACTAGAAAAGTGACCATATGTCCCTGGATTCTAGGACTATCACCTGTAAGATGGTAGATCATCACACTCACATTTACCCTCAGGGCTAGCAGGGCAGCCATCAGAAATGTGACCTATACCACAGCACTGTACAGAGAACACTGAGCCAGTCACATCAGTATCTGTACAGGGGAGCTTACACTCTAATCCAGAATGGCACCAGCTGTAGGGGGACTACAAATCCCAGCAATAGTGATGTCACTTCCGGCTGGTCCGACATCAGGAGAGGAGGGAGGTGATGGGGCCCCAGCCTGTCTCGAAGCCGCACGAGCGGGCCCTGCGCTTCTAGAGCTAGGCCTCCTCCGGCGCTAGGGGGGCCCGGCCCTCTCCTTGCCTTTCACCGTCAGCCGATACTCCTGTAAGGGTCCCGGGAGGGCCCCTTACATGAGTATCAGCCGTACCCCAGCTGATGGCGGCCCTGAGGGCCAGTACCAATGAGATATGTTGGGCTGGTAGGAAATGGATATAGCCCCTCATTCAGACTTTCATCAGGGCGGGTACTGCAGACAGTGACAGCTGCTAGTTATTCTATACATACTCACTCCCAGGCCAGCCCTGTGATTCCAGTTTGTGGCCAATGGAAGGCTTCCAGCACCCATTTAGGTCATAATGGTTAGAAGTCATGTGATTGAATGCTGAGAGCCACAAAGCAAGATGATTTCCCAATGCCAAGTGCTCTGATTGCAGATCTATCAGCGAACGGCTAGAAATATAATGCTAAACATCTGTCACCGACTACAGGTCCCATCGGATCCAGGCCTGAATCTCTCTTTATATATATTCTCTATTATATATCTTTTAGCCTTGAGAAAGGCAGGCTGTGAATTGCTGAAACATCATTACAATAAAGCTACTATACTGTTGGTTTCTATCTACCCAGGATTCACCCAGACAGTCCAGGTTTTGAATGCTGTGTCCGGGTTGGATAGCAGCAGAAACCCGGACACAAGAAGTCAGGCAGACAGGGGCAACCAAAATTAAGATAGGGGCTACTGGCCCCCCCACTGAAAATAGTCTCAACTGTGATATTTACATATAATTGGGAGGCGCTATTTACATAAAAATAAGCTGCGACTCCTCCCAAAAAAATTTCAGCGCAACGCTAGAGTGTTCAGGTTTCGCTTGAAGAAAAGGTGGCAACCCTATATACTGTCCTCCTTGTTCCCCTATGGAACCCTTTCAGTGCCTACCATACCTGTTGCTACAATAATAGGGTTACTCACTAAAGGGTGAAGAGTTTGGAGAAGTGAACAATCTAGGACTGCATAACCGAACTGGAAAGTGAGCTGAATTGGAGAATATTTCCAAATCAGCTAGGTTGTCCTATATTTCCATAGTTCACTTCTGCCTTCTCCAAACTCTTCACCCTTTTGCGAGTAACCCTGTATATGTTTTGTGTGGAGCACCAAGCCATTTCATTTGCATGGAGTTCTGATATTGCCCTATGTGTGTTTTCTCTCTCTCTCGTCTATACCCTCCATTATATATATTGTGGACTGTAGTTCCATAAAGCATAATAACTATGTGATTACAATCCAAACTTGATAAACGCTTCCTCCCCTCCACTACACAGCCCCATTGCCTCTTCTCTCACCGCCCATGATCCCCTTTTCCACACTCCATTCTTGTGGCTTCTTTTTCTCCATCTCTTCCACCAGTGAGTGTATCTAATCAGTGAATGCCTTCGTGAATCCTTGCTTGTGTATGGTTCTTAGCAAGGCAATATCATACCATATACAGTATCTCATAATAAGCAGTAAACAATGTGGAACATAAGAGAATCTGCACCAACTATTGGTCTTTAGTGGTGCACCTGTTTGGTTTCAGGGTTTGTTCACACAATTTTCCGGTCCTGATCTGGTGCGGATCTGCAGACGCGGTGCTCTGCATGCAGTGCGTTTTTGATGCTTTCCAGTAAAAAATAAATACATATTTTGTTTATGTGCTGGAGTGGGGCTCAGTATGTTAGCTGCAGTGCAGTGCCTTTTGTGACGTGGTTTTGACACATTCGTGCATTTCGGGACCGGACAAAACGTGACATGCAGTATTTCCTCTGTCCGGAACGGACTGCGCTTGTGAGAACACGACAAATGTCAGTGCCTGCAACAGATTCATGCATCTGTCAGAGCAGATATAGTACATTAATTTGTTGCATGGAGGAGGAGCCACTTGAGGCCGGATTGTCTATACCGCAGACACTCAGCCGAAATCTAGCCCCTGAGCTACACATCCTTCTTTGTTACTAGAACACTATTGATACAATGCCATTGTTTGCTAGAATACAGTCACATACAGCTGTACAGTGTCATGGGTTGGTAGGACGCTGTCGGCTGTAGTGTCATGGGTTGGTAGGACGCTGTCGGTTGTACAGTGTCATGGGTTGCTAGGACGCTGTTGGCTGTACAGTGTCATTGGTTGCTAGGACGCTGTTGGCTGTACAGTGTCATTGGTTGCTAGGACCTTATTGGTTGTGCAGCCAACAGCATCCAAGCAACCATAGACATATCCCCTGCCCAATCTAGTTGCCAGTCGGGAGATTCCCCAGCTAACAGCTGTATGTAAATGAAGGGGCCGGGGATGCTGGCTGACATCACTGATCAAATATGGCAATGGCCATATTTGGTTAATGATGTCACCACAAAAAATACAAATAAACTGAGTTTGTGAATCACATCTTTATTGAAAAATCTTCCCACTAAAGTGGGACTAAACTTGCATAAGGAAAACAAGATCAGCATTAAAAAAAAAAAAAAAAAAGGTCAGAAATACAAATAATGCATAGAAAATGCTTTGGTTTTATATATATATATAGTGGGCTCATCGTCTTATGTGATTAGATACTGCCAACAAACACTCAGGCCTCAGCATTGACTAAGGGTTTTAAAGGGTTCAGAGGATACAACTATGTCACTTGCCAAGGGACACAGGCATACAACACACCCGGAGGTGTCGAATGCTGAAAGACACGAACAGTGGCTGCAGTATTAGGTTGCAGGGAAGGTAGGAGACAAGGGCAGTAGTAAGAGCCTCTTGCAGAGAGCTTTAATTTGGATATTTTTTTATTAAGATGACAGGGTCCCTTTAATATTCTCAGGGTAACAGAGTAACCTTAAATGATAATCTCTGCAACTACAGCATGCAGGTGATAGCTGATGATGCATTTCAGACAGAGGAAGCTATGTCCAAATGCGTCATCCTGTTGGAGATTCGACATGCTGCTTCCTTGTCTCATCTGGTGGAGTGAAAATCAGAGCCAGCTAGGAGGTTGGCTTGTGTAGAACAAACTTGCAATAATCACACTGCCCTACATTGAAGTGAAAATACTAAAAAGTTATAGATTTTGTTTATTGTTTTTGCTAAAAATCTGGCTGATCTGCGGTGCTGGGACTGAGAATACATCATCCTTTCACCCTGAATGATGAATAACGAATTAAAGCTGGGATGTAGTCGTCATGTGCAGCCGATGCTGGACTGATAGAGTAAGGCACTTCTGGTATCAGTCTTCTAACCTGCAGCGTTTCATCAGTAAGAATCCATAGCACCAAAGAATATTCCATTCTGTAGATTTCCTTCTTTTATGGATCCAGCTTACAATTCCATCTACAACCTCTGGCTATCCAGTATGTAGGGAGATGAGATGTCCTTATTATTCAGGTGCAAGTCTAAGTCCTAAACATGGAAAATATTTGTAAAAATAAAGTTACGTTATGTTCCAATAGGACATCCAACAAATTAAAGACAAAACTATCATTTACATTTTATTGAAAACACACATTAAATCTTCATTCTACCATTGACCGGAAAGCCAGTTTTGAGACGATTTTCCTTGTTTAATGCTCCATATGTTATTTTATTTTTTTTAAATCAGCGTATATTAAACAGAATAATAATCTGACACTCACACTTATCATAGAGGGCTGCACGCAGGCAGTCAGTGGTTACGCATTTGCAATGAAAGAACAAACATAACAAATAGTTTAGTAAAATCTCAGACGAGTCAGGCTGCACCAAGACTCAGTGGCGCAGCTGTATAGTTCGATCCTAAAGAAAAAACATCGTATCTGCCACTGGTCAGGAACGTTACGCAACATATTTCAAGTGTATGTGTTGGTCGCCTTGTATTATGTCATATTCGGGCTTTGAAAAGGGCCCACCTGTCGTAGCTCACATATTTGGTGTCAAGTACTGAAACGCTTGACACTAAGTAGGCACTGAGCCCCAAGCACAGTAACAATGTTTCTGCAGTACATTATACATTCTGAAAATAAGGCGACTAGGGCAAGTACCCCAAGGGGTGAGGTAGAGAGAAGAGGGATAATGCTCCATATTTTGATTATTTTATATCATGCACAAATGTGTAAATGTTGCCTTTAGTGGTCATCTGTTTATCAGTGAATATGGTCAGAAATCTGCTTAAAAGTGCCATGAAAGAAGTATAGAGGCAATACGTGTTGTCTGGCTTTGTCTGGCGTCAATACTTTGAGTCGTAGCCCACAACAACCGTTAGTATCTGAAGAGTGAGATCATTTATCTCAATACATGTTCCGGGTCATTGACCGACCAAGAAGAGCTGGGGGTAATTTATGAAGGGATATGCTGTTCACTTTGCAACATGAATGTTCACTAAACTATGTGAATTCTCTTTGCACAATGAACACGTTCTTCCCATTTAGTAAATCACCCCCATCAAAGCCAATGCATCAGCATGACCGTCAACATTTCACTAATGAAGTAAAACTTCAAGTTTCATTTTTATTTGAAATTGTTAGTCCCACCCCCTTCCTTTATTAAATAAAAAAGCGCCCATGCTTTACTTACCCTCTCAAGGCTCTAGCACTGTCCCCAGGTTCCTGCTCGGTCCAACGCCGCCGGTCCTCTTCCAGCCAATTTACCCTCACATCTTCCTGGCCATTTCATGCCAGTTCATCTTCTCGTTGACACCCCCCTGGGGGAGCATCAGCTCATAGTACTCTAGGACCGAGCAGTGCTCACATGTCATTACAGAACCGCCGCTCAGTCCAGGAAGAATACCTGCCCATCACCACCAAGAATGAAGTGGAAAGACAAGTGACGGCATCAGATGCGCTATAAGACTGAAGGACAAAAGGTATGTATAGGGTTCTTTAATAAAAAGGCTTGGGGAGCTTCAACATGGGGGGGGGACACCCGATCGGCACCCCATACATGCGATCGGCCGGCTCTACAGCCGGCGGATCGCATGTATATTAACGGGCATCGCTGCCCGTTTTTAAATACCGGCCATTTCCCGCTCGCGCGCGCCGTCTAGAGACGCCCGCTCAGATCGAGAGAGCTCCTGGCTGGCCGTTTTTTTACTACGGCCGGCCCGGAGGTAGTTAAAATGGTAAAACTCAATTTTTAAGATCTATATTCTGCCATTGGCACTTAAAGTATAATTAAAGCCTCCAGTGTTTTCGCATAGATCTACTGCAAGCAAGCAGTAGATATATGCAAAAAGTGTAAAAAAAACAAAAAACAACGCTTTAAAAGCTGTTTAACTACCTCCCGGCCGGCCGTTGTGTATACACAGCCGGCCGGGAGCTTCTTGGATGTAACTGGGCGTATATACACGTCCTCTTACTTCCGCCGAGGCGAGCAGGAAATGCCCGTTATTTGAAAACAGGCAGCGATGCCCGTTAATATACAAGCGATCCGCCGGCTATAGAGCCACGGATCGCTTGTATGAGGTCCCGTAACGTGCGCCCCCCCCCCCCCTCCCTCCTGCTGTCAAGCTGGTCCCTGGCTCCGGTGTGAGCACGGGAACATCATACTGCCTCTGTCACAGGGGATCAGAGGGAGGTCGGTTCACGATCTCCCTCCGGGCCCCTCTGCGCTGTCAGAATGCAGAACTGATGTATACGACATCACTTCCGCATTCTCGTGTCACTCTCCAACTTCAGATGCTGGAGAGAAGCTGATGAAGCAGATCTCTGCTTCATCAGCTTCTTCAGGGGGGTCCTAGGTGACATTAGGGGTCTTGGAGACACCTGATGTCTCCATAAAGAGGACCTGTCACCTCTTTTGCTATCACATAGAGGGGTTTCTTAGCCCCCTCTGTGATAGCAATAAAGTTTAGTGAAAACAAAAAAAATAGGAAAAAAATTTAAACTTTCCCCCCAAATTTTTTTTAAGTTACACATAAAAATTAGTTTTTTTAAATTCTAAGTCCCCACCCCTACATACACGCATGCAAACATGCATTGGGTGCGAATACCTGCGAAAACTACGATTGCGCCCATTACGCCGCACATGTTACATATCGCCGCGAACGTCGCAGTGAGAGCAATAATTCTAGGGCCATCAATCAGGGCTCATAAACTGATGAGCGGTAAAAGCTTTTAAAGCGTCGCCTATGGCCAATTTTGGGTATGCTAGTTTTTTGCGCACAATTTTTAAGCTTGACATTTTTGGTGTCCATTTACCCGACGTGACCCTTTTTTTTTTTTCCAAAATTTTCAGTAATTTCTCCTGAATATAGTAAAAAATAAAATAAAACCCGCAGTGGTTATTAAATACCACCATAAGAAAGCTCTATCTGTCCCCAAAAAATGGTATAAAATTCATTTCAGTACAGCGTTGCATGACGGAATAAATGTCAGTCAAAGTACTGCAGCGCTGAACACTGAAAAATGGCCTGGCCATGAAGGGGGTCTAAACACCTGGTCTTCAAGCGGTTAAACTTACCTGTGTCTTCACCGCACACGCTCCCGTCCCAAAATGTGAAAATTGACTTTAATGTCACTTTAATGCAGTTCACAAAAATGTAAACTTGACAAAGGATTTAAGAATGACAACTTTAATGACCTGTAAACTCTGGTCATATTTTATTTAAATTCTTAACATAGCCGTGTGACTTAAGGGGGTGTCAATAACCACATATTCAGCCCAGTAAACATCATTCTTACATTCCTACCTTAAAGCTATTACTAGATGACAGGCCAGTATTGTACATTTCCTGTCTGTTAAGGACACCATATTATACTATCCAGGGTGTTATGAAGACTATACACATTACTGATAGGAGTATTTCACAGGAATCTGTATAAAACATCACCAGTGTGTAGAGGGTGTATAGTGTCTGTGCTGCCGCTGTGTGGCTCTGATTGTAATAGAGGAGAATAGCGTAAACTATTGCCTGTCTTGTACTTCACAAGCATGGCTGAATGTTAAACGAACCATTAAGCATAGCAAACAGGGTTGCATGCAGGTCAAAAGCTGCCAGGCCTTAACTTTTCTCTTCTCAGGGGACATATAAACAGGACAACATGCTTGCTTGCTTGCTTGCTTGTGTGTGTATTACACAACAGATATGTCCACAGATTTAGGGATACTGACAGCCAGGCATTGATACTGAAAGGCAGGCATAGGCCCCTGTGGCAAGCAATCTCTCTGGGTGTACCAAACATTCCCACCCACAGGATGCTATCCTCTCAGTGTTAGAGTGTTAGAGAATACATTGTTTAGTGCTGTACCTGTCTATGAGCAGTCTGTTAACACAGCAGAGTCTTGGTGAAAAAGATCATCTCAGCTGTCAGACAGTGCCATTGGCAGCCAGGCTGATATTATTGGACTGGTAGTGCAAGTCTATAAGTACTATCCTTGTCGCACTTCTTACCGATATGTCCCTTGTAGTGTGGGGTGCTTGCAGTGACTGCGGATGGTGCCGCGAATGTCAGCGAAATTGTAGAAATGTCACCAGCACACCGGTCCTTTTAAGATCGCAAAAGCTTCATTTATTGAAGTTTTTTGTCATATGACCAAACAAGCGCTTTAGGGAACGCACAGGGTCCCTTCATCAGGTCAATGCTAAAGCCAGATGAAGGGACCCTGTGCGGTCCCAAAATTGCTTGTTTGGTCATATGACAAAAAACTTCAATAAATGAAGCTTTTGCTATCTTAAAAAGGACGGGTGTGCTGGTGACATTTCTATTTTGGTAGTGCAAGTCTGCCCCATATGCAGGTGCTATCAGGATGCAGTGCATTCCTTATCCTGTAAATGTCGCACAACATAGGGGCATACCACAAAATGCAAATTCACAAATCTTCTGATTTGCAGGCTTAAGTGCAGGCAGTAACAACAAGGGCTGGCAGACTAAATGTTTAGTGTGGGACCTGTTTAATCAATGGCTCACAAACTCAAGGTACAGGGGTGAGTCAAACAGACCAGCAGCAAGCAACAAGTAAACATAATATATAAATCTCTAACACCTAGAAATAGATATCTAGAAATATTCATTATTCCTGTGCAGTAACCAGACAGATTTATATTTAGAATTCCTCCAATGCAATGCAGTCCCTGGTATGCCAGTGTGCCTAGGCAATCCTGTACCTACAGCTACAAATCTGTACAGTAAATCTCCAGGTTGAGATCTAAAGCTATGCTGCTAGTCTCAGGAGATCTGGAGGGAGCTTTGGTGATATCACTACTGCTGGCTGAGAGCTGTGACAGGAGGAAGCAAAGGTCCTGTAGCTGGCCGCCTACACACAGAGATAACTTACCAGGGCTCCCTCACAGATCCTGCCTCCAGTGCAGCTGACATAACAACAAAAGCAAGAATGGCAAGAAAGCACTGGTAAGGCAAGTATAACAAGGTTGAGGGAGCCTACTACACTGTCACTTTGCTCAGGCAAAGTAACAAGGTCTCTAATTTTAGGGCTCCATTTATAAAGCAGTAGTATGGACTTTACCACGCTTAGCCTTCTGCTAGCTTCAGGACTCAGAAGCCAGCAGAGTGCAAAAAAAGGCTGTGAGAAGAACCTGGTCACGTGATCTGCCATAGTCATATCCAGCCTCTCCTCCAATCACATGGTTCTCTCTGCTGCGTTAAGCAGAGAGAACTACATGACAAACTGCAGGCTCCACATTGTGGTCTGCATTTTATTAAAGAGTCATAAAATGCAGGTAGCAATGTGGACTAATATTGCAATGTATAATGAGATCTGCTGTCCATTTGTTTACATATTCCACTAATGCCAAATTTATTTGACTTCTTCCACTCCTTTTAGGCAGTCCCCTTGTGAAGCAATCCTTCTTATGCCCCGCTGTGTACGCATAAAACTGCTCAGAGATGGGATGGTCTGAACTATTGAACCTATTGGCTTAAATTTTGTCAGCTTTCAGTTCTAAGCCATTTACAAAATGGGGCAATGACAACTATCAAAATGTAAATAGGGGGATAGCAAGGTGTACAAGGTATCAGGAGGAAAATCAGAGCCACTTGGCAGCTAGATGGTGTCACCTGCTGACTTACCATACTGTATGTAATGTCATTAAAGTGGAACTCTAGTTTTTTTTAAAAACTAACCCTTGCAGTGGGGCTACCCCACTGCTACAATGAAGGGACGATCACTTAGACAAAAAGTTGTTGACTAGTATGAAGAACAGATACCTAGAGATGCCTGCAGTGGCCTCTTTGCCGCAAATTGCTACAATTTTATTAATAGTTAAGGTACTTGAATGCATTTTTAAGATTTAAACTCCTGAGTTTAGTGTCACTTTAAGGTTTCCTAAATCCCAGCAATGCCCTTTTAGTTGGCTAGCACAACATGCTGGAAAAAAGAACTGCCCCAGCTTGTAGTAGAAACGATTGCTTACCTCACCAAAGTAAGAGATCAATGGAGAAATCTCACATAGCACTGGCGGGTCCTCTAGTTCTGGGTTTCTGCTGAGAATGGAAAGACATATGGATATGAAAGGACTGATATATCTGCTGTACCCCCATTATAGTAATTTGTTTATTGCTCATAGACTTAGAGCATATGTGAAGGACTAACCTGGAACTTTCTTCTAGTAGGTGGCCCTTGGCATCTATAAACTTGGCCCCAGCTTTCACTGCCCAGCGGAAATGCTGCCACAGGAGCGAACGCCTTGCTGTAGTCGGGGTGTCCTTGTCAGCTTTGTCTGCGTTCTTCAGAGGAGAGAACTCTTCCTCCCTGATAACTTCAAATGCCACAAAGTTTCTGTATCATAGAAAAAAAAAGACCCGTTTGATACACGATATTCCGCTGATGTCATACAAAAGGAGGCTACAACCTTTGTCATAACACACTCAAAACCACCATTGCAAGTTATTACCGTTACTAGCAGGGTGTCCGTGGAGGACACCCTGCTAGTAACGGTAATAACTTGCAACTTTTGTGGAAAATGTGGGGTCTTAAGATGTTCTGCAAATGCATGCCACAAGTCCTGGCTACTGCCATTCCACTGTGTGGACCACATCCGCCATACATGATGACCTCACTGACCAGCTCAATGCCGGGGTCAGTGGTGTCATTACCAGAGCTGGACAAGTGAACAGGTGCTGGTCTAGCAACTAAGATTGTAAGTTCTTTTAACAAATTTAAAAAAAGCAAAGTTGTGGTTTTACATGATGAAGATTCTCCTGTTTTTGCTTTTCCGGATACATTAATTTGCGGTATTGTGATCTGTGATTCTGAGAATGGTTTGGATACTAGGAGTAGAACACTGCCCTGTTTGGGGAAGCATTTTTAGATCTTTCATGTTAGGTCAATGTCATCTGGCGAGTTACCCAAAGTGGGGAGGCACAAGAGAACTGAACAGCATTTATCTTTAGTGGATCTAAAATGATATCGACAATATTACAGACTGAAAAGCTCACTTGAGTCTGGTATGTACTGGTTGTCATTGATCAACAGGTCACTTTTTTAGTATTAGAATTCTGATTGAAAGTTCACATTGCTTTGGTTGCACTGATTGTATATTGCACTTGATACACATTATAAAAAATCTGATTGCTACCCGTTACCACTTACTTATGACTTAAAGTTCTTTTGAATTGCACTTCAGTTCCTTTTGCAGTTTAAATACTTATGTATTTAGTTTATAGCTTATTGAGGATCTATGATCTATCTTTGAACATAGTTCTTGTTGATTATTACACATGTATTATTTGGTTCTTTCAGCATTGTGCACATTAATTGATTTGTAGCTAGTGAGGCTTAGCCTTGAAATCAGGCCCAGTAACAAAGTGAAACAAAATCAGCTTCTCTAGCCGGAGAATGACAGCTGAGGAGCCGGAAGTGATGCGTTTCTGGCTCCATTCAGTGGGGAGGAGATTGGTGAATGGATGTTCATTTGGATCTTCCCGCCAACACACCTGATGCCTGTCCTGGGCTTGCAGGAAGGGCATTGGAACCTGGTAAGAAAAGTGGTGGTATCGGGCAAGGGACCCTGTTCACCAGCCCCTGGAAGTGACCTGGCGGCAGCTCAGCTGCCACAATCACTTCCAGTGTAAAGCTGACAGTCTACTTTACACAGGTAAACAGAGTCCCAGCGGTCTGTTTACAGGGTTCTGAAGCCAGCTACGTAAGGGTTATTGTGCTGACAGGGAACGGGTTAAGGGTTCTAATGGAGTACCTGTTCACCCTAAAGTAACTGGTCTTGTTGAAATGAATAGATAAAGAGTAAAAGAAGGGCTGACACATTTACTTTTCCTTAAGAGAGGTTTTTAACAAGTTCCCTCCTGTACAGGTCATGTGACCAGACACCTTGGCATTTAGACATGTGATTTCTGTTGAAAGATGAGGACTCCAGTCTGAATTCTGATTCTTCTCTTCAGCAAAAACCACATGACCAAATGCCTAAGGTTTTAGTTATTTCAAGTATAACTATAGGCAAGATTTGGATAGAGTGGTGAGGGGTTAGAACCCATGTTAGGGTGTCATTGCTTTTTGTGTCCCCGTTAGGGAGATTCACCCTCTCCAACTGTCCTGATCACCAATGTCACCGGGAATGACAGAGTGTAAATCCAAAATGTTGAGTTCCACCAGAACAGGAATAAAGGGGAAATCTTCTAATAGGAACACCAATCCCCATGAAAGCTCTAAAAGTGGGGATTTACTTCACATTTAAAATATCCTCTTGTTTCTTGTTGAGTCTACAGGACAGGAAGTGAAAAGAAATCTCCCGAATGAGACAGATAGCAAAAAAAAACGGACAGTGGTTTTAACCCTTCCCTATTCTATCCAAGATATAAATAATGGCTTTATCTATGCTTTAAAACCCCACCAGAAGGAGCCTGGAGCCCAACAAGACTTTTAACAAAACGTTCTGTTCACACTGCAGTACACGTGTCCTTTAATTTGTACTGAAGAAGCAGAATGTCACCAGCACACCAAAAGGACAGGGTAAACAAATGTCTTTTATTGACGCATGTCACCATGAAAGCGACGTTTCGGGGCCACACAGGGTCCCCTTCTTCATGCTGAGCAAGCAGTGCCAGCTAAACTCCTGCTATTCTGTAAATGCTGCCGGGTTGGACACAAAAATAAGCATTCCCCAAGCAAGCGGCTCATACAATATACAACATTACTGCCAATGGTCAGATTGTAGGGAAAGAACACTAACTTGGCAAACTGGAAGACGTCAAACACAAACTTCTCCATTTTAATTCCATTGGGTTGTACTGGTTTCACCAAGTTTCCCTCATTGTCCACATATGGTACTTTTTTTATGGCGACGTGGTATTCCAGGCGTGACTCCAGTGTCCTGATGAAGAGAAGTCATATGTATTGAGTAATGGAAATAAACCAGTTGTGTGCACACGTATTTCTAAAGCAGAGCGACAAGAAAACCATCAAACATGACACACACGCTTTGGGACATCTACTGTAGCTTAGACCTTTTCTGTGTTTCACCTGTAGGGTCATCACGGTACTTTTACAATGACAACCACTTGACAACTTTTAACCACTTGCTGTCCGGGGCATTTTCTTACTATTTGCGCACACATGATAAAATATAAATGTTTGGCTGGAAAACAGCTCCAGACCCCCAAACAATTATATATTTTCTGAAAGCAGAGACCGTGTAGACTAAAAAAAATGCTAGTTGCAATTTTTTTACGTCGCAGTTTTCGTGCAAATATTTATCATACCGGTATTTTTAGGAAAAAATAAACTAAATTAAAATTTAGTGCACAGAAACATAATATAATACCCAATTTGTTGGTGAAATATAAAAGACAGGGTCACTCCGGGTAAATAGATATTAAACATGTCAAGCCTTAAATTTGCGTCCTCCTGTGAAGCTTTTTTGTCGTTTTTGCACGTAGGCGCACCGACGTGTGTATGTGCGTGCACGTGGGGGGCGGGGGGGCTTAAAAAATTTTTTTTGCATTTTTTATTTTATGTTACTTTCATTTTTATAACTTTTAAAACACTTTATTTTTTATTTACACTAACCCTATTGCTATTACATAGGGGGCTAACAAGCACCCAATGTAATAGCAGATAGGGTGTGACAGGTCCTCTTTACGGAGACATCAGGGGTCTTTCAGACCTCTAATGTCAAGTAGGGACCACAAAGAAGCTGAGATCTGCTTCCCCAGCTTCATCTCCTGGCTATAAGAGCCGGAGACTTCACGCCGCACGGTACAAACGATCCGACGGCTGTACAGAACGCTGGATCGCTTGTACATTAACCGCCATCACTGGCTGGTAAACGCGGTACCAAGAACACGGCTGCTGCAGCAGACATGTTCTTGTTTTAACCACTTTAACGGGCCGCAATCTATGTACCTAGTTAAATGTGGCAAACTAAGGTGATGGTGTATAAATATTTAGAAATAAGTATATGGTGACATTTATTTAACTGGCCGGCAGCATTCGTTGGCATACTGTCCGGTAATAGTGTTACATACCCGGCCACACTTTTAAGGAAATCCAGGGTAAAGAAATGATTGCAGATGTTTCCAGCGTTGTATGTCAGGCTGCCATTAGGGTTCCGTTTCTCGGCGGTGTTTGGATTAATCTCACTATATTCCACCACCTGATAGACGCCATCGACTTGGCACACCACCCCTACAGGCTCTGCTGGGTAAGCCTTCTCCACCACCTGATGAACCAAGAGGAGAACAGTCTAAGCAATGCAAGATTCCAGCCCAGATCTCTGACATTTACCTTTTTCTTTTATAAATTCATCAAACTTTCCTCTAGTTGGAGTCAATTATTATAATGTAAAGATAATCTGTCATTATTTCAGTTTTTTCTTATGTCTATGTGAATGTTATTGGTTTCATTGAAATTATCTTGCCTGTGTGCTTGTGAAAAAGAAAATACTTGAATGTATGGTTTACTGTCATATGTGCAATACAAGGAGGCAGCCATATTTGTCCATCTGCAGTACAGCGACTACAAATTAAACTGTAGGGGTACGTGCAGACCTGGATGAAATAATTGAATCACCAGCCATTGCTGTCCCTTGGCAATAGCAAACTTTAGGCCTTACCCCGCCCATATTTTTCTGTCTGTGACCCTTTTAGGTAAAGTTTTCCTCACTTCCTGTCTCTGCAACACCAGTACAAGAAATTAGGGAAATGGTTGTCACCAGGACAGGAAGGCATACACAGCAATAGCTCTAACTCTTCCCCATTCTGTTCAAATGTGTTTTTGTTTATTGCTTTTGTTCCACTTTGTTTCCAATCACTGTCCTGACCACACGTAAGGGAACTCTCCTCATAGGGGCAAAATGGCAATGAAAAAACATTAAAGAGGCTCTAAGTCTTTCCGGCTTAAAACAAAATACAGTAAATAGTTTTGGTTAGAGTTGTGATTGAAAGCTAAGAGGGGTTGCTACACAAATGTATGCTAAATTATGCTGCTAGACTGTAGATGATGACAGCAGAGGAGACTGTACTCTGATGAAAGGATAACTAAAAAGTCATATATATTCCTGCTCGCCAGGGGTGTCCCTAGCATAGTCGCCATCCAGACAGCGCGTCTTCCTGCCCAGCTGTTAGCAACCTGGGACACTGGCTGGAAAGGGGGTGGCAGGCAAATGCAGACATGTCTGTTGTCCAGCCTGGGTGGACCCCTCCATAGATACAGTGGAGGATTAAACATAGCCATGCATGGGAAGAATGTGTGTTATTCGCAGGATTACCAGATGAAAATAGAGGAAATAAGCCTAAAAAAGAAAACCAAGTCGGGTCCCATATCTGTGGCCTGAAAAGCTGAATTACACAGAAGTTCTATATGCAGTAAGACATTGAAGATAAAGCTACAGGTAAAGTAAAACCCCTTTAAAATGCTATCAAACTACCCACACTCCAGCTGCTGTGGGACTCCCTCATAACCTGCCAGCAGAGGCTTGAGTAATAATGTAAACTTGATGTAGGTTTCTGTCTACTAGACGACTTCTCTGTTACTTCACCCACCTTAGCCCCGCAATCAGCACTTTTGGACACGCAGAAGCCCACAAAGACAGGATCGGCCATCTTCACCAGAATGTTGTCCACACAGTACACATGGATGTACATAATGCCTCGTGCCTCCATGTCCTCCAGAATGTGGTTGTCGGCTAGCGCTTTATACAGTCCTCCATTGCCATCTAAAATAATGCAAACCTTCAATGCCAGACTGCCTGCGTCTTTGTAAGCTCTGGGCATGTTGATCGCCATCAGTGCCTAATGGAAGAACTAATCTTGTTGTTTACAGGAAGAAACGTCTATGATAATACAGAAGAAGTCCATGACTGACAACTACTGCTTACAGGAAATAGACATATTCCTCCTTTCAAAATTCTATCAGCAGATAAGAGAAGGAGGAAGAGGGACGGTTGCCTGGCAAAAAGAATAAGCCCTTCTTTAGACACTTCGGGCTATTAAAATAAATCTAAGAATCAAAAGTCTCCCCGGTCAGTTACATAGTTAGCTTAAAAAAGACAAGTTCATCGAGTTCTACCTACAGGAAAAAAAGGATTAATACATTAAAATAAACCTGCATCCGCAAAACCCTAAACCCATAGTTGCTTAAAGTAAAAGCTTTCCGAACCCTTGCAGTGGGGCTACCCAAAACCCTAGACAAAAGTCTTGTAGTGCTGGCTAGGGACAGATAACTGAACCTGGATGCAAACAGATTGCATCCAGGGCTGGTCATCTTTTCCCAGCCTTAGGTAAGCACTGGTTGTGCGGATATACTGTATATTGAGCAGCGGGAGACCTCTGCAATTCTGGTCAACCTGCCATTGCTGCAGCTGTCCAGAACCACCAATAATTCCAGCCAAAAGAATACAGATTCTTGCCGCATGTGGGCACTGGCAATCTTTTATTATGTCTGTGCTGGCCCAGTGGTCGCAGTCCAGACAGAGCAGTCACTGTTAGAAGTTCCCCCGTTTACATACATGTGCATGCCTTACCCACACGTGTTCACTAGAATCAGATGGTGGGGGCGGCAGGGTTGGTTTTAATTTTTTACTCTATCACCTTTTTTATTTAATATTTTTCACTTAACTTTTGCTATTACAAAGGGACTAACAAGCCCCTACGTGACATTTGGAGGGGACAGGTTCTCTTTATGGAGACATCAAGGGTCTATTAGATGTAAACCCTGCACTCCAATACAGAAGATCGAGCACAGGAATGTGCTTCATTTACTGTTTGCCTGGCACTTCAGCTGGTTTCTGACGTCTGAAGCATGCTTCAGTGATCTCAGAGCAGATTGGGGAAAGGACGTTCCCCGGTCTGCTTTCACTCTCCATACTGACACTGTGTGCCGTGGTCCCAGGCCCCCCAGATGAGCAGGGGCCCCGAAAACCACAATGGGGGCGTGGGGGGCCCACAATGGCAGGCTACTACAAGTGATCTGGGTGGCTGCACAGCCACCCATATCACTTCTAGTCCTTGCCCTGCCTGACGTTATGGGTTACTAGGAAGCCAGCGGTTCTAGCAACCAATGATTGAAGCAGGGAGGCTGGTGTATCCACTATCAGGCAGCCAAAACCCAGTGCAGGTAGGCGATTGCGGTCTGGACAGAACTGCCACTCGGTCCGTGTCTTGACCGCGGTCTGCCATAAAGTGTCAATTGAGTGACAGCTCTGAGTGTGCTGGGGCTGGTGACATCACATCTAAGATGGCGGTACCCAGCAGCAGTCTCAGGGATTTTAGATGTCTACACAAGGGAGCCTTCTACAGATAAATAACTTCCCTTATATGCATGAAATAAACCAATGGGAAGCTTGATGGGAAATGAATGGTCTAGTGACTGGGTCCCTTTTAGTTACTAATGGTAAGAAAATATACAGAGCAGACTTTAACCAGCGTGTACCTGGAGCCATTGCCACCTTGTCCTTGCGTTCTAAAATAGCTTTTCCATCAAAGTCAACAGCGGGCAGCATCCTCTGCTCAAATATGACCACATCTGACCGCTGCACGCCAAAGTAGTTGTTTTCCTCGAAAAAGGTCTGTGTGGGGTTCAAGGTGAACTCGCTTGTCATGATGTACCTAAGCAGTAGAAACATAATATAAGATGCATGCTCACAGTCACCGGCTATTATGTCACCTGGGTTACACAAATTAAAGGGAAACTCCAGGTAAACAGTTAAATACACGACTGAATTACATGAATATTTGCTATTTAAGCTCACAAAGGATTTATAATGATGTAAAGTCAATGTTGTCATTGCCACACTGCAGATCCAGACACATGACACACCTGGCCTCTGATTAAAGGCATACGGTAGTCCACGTTTTCCAAAAGAAGAACACATGCACCCACACGGAGTGCATCCATTCATTTTTAGCAACGCACCCCACCCACAATCAGTGGATCCCGGGTGCAATGCATGGGCTTCTGCAGACTCTTCCTCCAGCTCCTGTTCATCCCAAGGAAGCAATTAATGGACTACAAGTATAATGACACCCTCGCGCTTGTGCTCCATTGAGATCTATGGGTCTCCCTGCAGGGATCTGGAAGTCCATTCACAGAATCTGTGAATTGAGAGACTACAGGTCCGATCTGCCACTGCAGCAAAGGGACTCATCGATCTCAATCGAACAGAAGCATGGTGATGGATCTGTGAATGAATGAGGTGGCTGTGTGGACACGGGTTACACATAGCCCTGTTGAGGGGGGGGGGGGGGGGCATGGTTGGGGTGGAATGCCTCCATGTTTCATAATACACCCTAAATGTGGGTGACATGTATATTTTCAGCTTTAAAGTGGAAGATGAGTGTTAAATATATAAAACTGCTGACAGACGGCTTAATTTGACAGAGAAGACTGTGTAAGTCTATTCTGCCATACATCCTCCTATCTGCCCATCAGCATGGGCAGCTCAGTGTACACGCTCAGCAGGATCTTTGCCAAGACAAATTGACTCCCATGTGCATGTATAGCAGTTACTTCATCTGGCCCTGGCCAATCAAGAGGTAAAAGACTCTGATTCCAGAAGAAGACCGGGATGAAGATGAAAGCACTGACAAGGAAGGAGAGCCCAGACATAGCAGGGGATCGCTTTGGCAGGTAAGTCTGCCATAATGTGCTAATATGCTGTGCACGCTAACACATTAGGGTTAAAAGCGTCTAGGGGCTCTTTATTTATTTAATTTACTTCCACTTTATATCATATAGCAGACCACAGACCAAGGGCAGACTAGCAGAACCGTCATCCTGATTTGAGAAGGCTTTGAATTATCTAGAAAGAGCTCAAGTCCGTAACATTGTGGAGGGGTGTTGGTCTGACCTGCTCTGCCCGCAGAAGGACTAGTCAATATGCTCTGCTCTGACCTCCACCAACCCCAGAAGGACTAGTCAATATGAGATAAGGTCAGCCAACAAGCTGACATACTAGGATCCCCACAGGATAACAGCTGGAAGAAATGTATCATCCTAAGTCAAACAATCAATCCATGGAGCTAGTCTTTGTAGTATGTTTAATCCTTTCACAGGTCTATTTAGCATGTCACTGTAAGCTAATGATAGCACAATAACATACACCTTTTCTGTACCAGGATACATTATTTTAAAGCAGAACTGTTCTTAAACCTTGCAGTGGGGCTTCCCCCGCACTGCAAGGATTAAGAGATCATTTATGTCAAGGTGCCGAAAAAAAGTTATATTTACCTGAGCCTCGGAGGTGGCCAGCTGCCAAGGTCCTCCCTCCAGCCTGTCTCCTACACTGCAGCATTGAAATGTTCCTCAGCGTCCTCGCGTTCTATACATTGTGTATAGGATGTGACCACTCACCAGTGAGTGTGGGGATAGCCCCACTGCAAGGGTCAAGAACAGTTTCGCCTGGAGTCCTGCTTTAAAATAATCTGGTATTGTCTACAGTACACTTCAAAAATATGTTTTGTAGATCATACACATTTTGTGTAGATATAGTCTCGATTTTACATTACGCTGGGTCACAGTTATCACACTAAGGCCCCATTCACACTTGGCGATTTGCAAATCGCGCGTTTGTCGCGCGATTTGCATTTTGCACGATATTGCGCAAATGCTTGCATCAAAAACTATTGAATCGCGGCAAAATCCGCTCCAAAAAGGGTCCTGCTGTAGCGACACACGACCCGCGACAGCAGGACCCTTTGCCCCATTGCAAAGCATTGAAGAGCGATATCGCGCGCTAAATAGCAACGATATCGCGGGAATTACCGCGCGATAAATCGCTCAATGTGAACGGGGCCTGAGTGATGAAAGGACCCTGTATGGTCCCAAAACATCTTTCTCCTGATAATCCACCAACATCAATAAAGGCATTTTGATGATGAAGATTTTGTTGTGCTGGTGACTTAAGGCCGTGACACACTGCACGCGAAGCCTTGCAGAGCGAAGCAAAGCTATCCGGCACGGAGCTTCGCGTGCAGTGTGTGAGCTGAGTGCAGTCAGATGATTGACTGCACCTTCAGCCAATCGGCTCGTCTGTAACAACTGGCCAGACGTCGCATCCCGTCGCACCGGTTTATACGCGCGAGCCTATTGGCTGAAGTTGAAATTGTTAATCTCGGCACGCTCAGCTCTGCGAGCTCTCGAAAGCTGAGGTGCAGAGAAGAAAGTGACATGACACACTGCTCGCAAAGGCAGCGCGCCACCGCTCCGCGTGCAGTGTGTCACGGCCTTTACTCTCCTCTAGTCTCAGACGCTCTGGGCTGTGAGCGTGCCATTGCCATTTTGTCACTTACAATGTATGGTTATTGGCCCTGCATTGTACTTGATGCAAATGTTGGTATATACAAGAGACTTTAGGGGACCGGTCACACAGATGGAGGGAGCCTGTTGCAGCAGGGAGTTAGGTCAATATTACACCTTATTCTTCTACCCCAAGAATGAACAAGAATCTAACTCTAGCATTGTGGGGAGGGCCCCACTGCAAGATAAGATTTTATGGAAGGTTAGAAGAACTAGGGAGGATGGACTAGTGCACTTGTCCTTTAACATTTTCATGGAGTTACAGCATGTCTAGAGTCACTGTGTGTCAGATCATGACCAATACTTCACACTATGAGATGACCGGCATGAACACAAAATGTTGCCCTGTCTATATGATTACATAGTCTCATTTGACTGTATCATTTGACTTTTACTACTAAGCTCCTTTTAGATCAAGAAAATATGCTTCCCCTTTCCTAGCTATCCATCCCTATATAGCCACATTTACTTAGGCTCGAACCCCCCAAGTCTGAATTCAGCTAGGAGATCTAGAAATGTAATGGTGAGTCTACACTGTAGACCAGGGACGCCCACATTTTTTCATCTGGAGATCTACTTTTCAAATGACGAGCTCAATGAGATCTACCAAAGAAAAAACACCTGCATTCAGGGGCGGGAGGGGGCATGGCGGTGCATTGAAGTTAGTGCCTGCGTTCCAGTCCAGTGCGATTCGTAAAAATGCTGCGGGCACTATTTTTGCTGATCGCAGTGGACCGCAATGCAAGCACTAATGTGCCTGCCTTTCCGGGTGCGGGCAATCGCACTGTGGGCGGGGGGCATGGCTGCGGTGCCATTGACAATACAACCCCACATCCCCTCCCGCCCCTGAACGCAGGGAGTCGTCTGGCTTGTGCGTCCTAGAGGCCCGGCGTCCTGTCCTCCTGTGTTGCTCGTGTAGCCGATGTTGCACATGGGGAGCGGTGTCCCGCCCCTTTCCATCTGCCACATTCAGCCGCACGAGCACCGTGGGAGCATAGCCGTAGCCAGCTCCTTCTTTTGCGCCCAAGACAAGAAAGAAAACCGTGTCGTCGTCCCCAAACAGGCGTGCGATGTCACCCAGTGCCCTGCCTCCAGGATTTCTTTTAATTTTTATTATTTATTTCATTTGTATTTATTTTTTAACTCTTGGGGGGGCATGGGGGGAATTATTAGGGGTCTAAACAGCCCCCTGATATTTCACTTTTAAAATAGAAAAAGAAATTGAGGTCACAAAGTCCTCAATCTCTTTTTCTGCAGCCTCTGTTCTAAATGAAGCGAAAGCACAGAGGCTTCCCATTCATTCAGAAAATACTTTACTATCATCCAGTTTCTGAATGGGGAGGAGCCTCTGTAGTCAGTGCTTCCATTGAGAAACTCATGAATGAACAGGAAGTGATGTAAATCACATCCTGTTCATTTATAACTGGGGACAGATAGTACTATGTGTCCCCAGTTATTTACAAACACTGGAGTGATCAGCTGATCGCTCCAGTGTTTGTCCTGCACAGAGGTTTGGTACATATCACTGATACGTACCGATCGTCTGCTGCTCGGCCACGCACAGGGGGCTCAGCTTCTCCTCTGGATCCGCGCTGCTCTCCCGGGCAGAGGCGGATCCAAGGAGTAGTGAAAGAAGCGTGGCAGCCGCGGGTGGCGGAGCCGCTGTCACAGAACTCAGGCCGAGCGGTGAGGGGAGAGAGGCCGAGCGTCTCTCTCCTCACCGCTCAGTCTTAGTTCTGCGACAGCGGATCCGTCCTCCGCCGCGGGCTGCAGCACTTCTTTCACTTCTCGGATCCCCGCTGCATACAGATGGGGAGAGCAGCGTGGATCCAGAGAAGCACCACGGGCAGGAGGAGAGGCCATCGCGATCTACCACTGATCGCTACGCGATCGACTGGTAGATCGCGATCGACCTTATGGGCACCCCTGCTGTAGACTATATTTTGTTTACCAGTATAACACCATTAGATTGTAGTATCAGTTATACAACGCACTACTTCTACTATGTAATACTGACCACGGCACAGAGCATTTAGTACCATGTTTCTCTCCAGCCAGTTGCTGCAGTCGGATGATCCTCTCGGCCTGGATCTGGTACAAAGTTTTACCGCTGGGCAAGCTGACGCTATACATTCCTTTGGGGTACGTCACACCAAGACGTGTACCTTGGCCCCCTGCAAGCAGCAAGACCGCCACCTTATTCTGGGCTATTTGATGTAAACCTGAAATAACAAGACATAAAAAGGTACATCACGTGACAGAAGTTGTTGGCTTTTCCTATATAGCGCCATAGTCTATAGTGCTGTTACAGTAAAGAATACAGACTGTGTACCTAGATGGAAAATTACAAGGTGCATAAAACAGAACAAAGACAACTCAGAAACAGGGACTCACACAAAAAGGTATATAAATCCTTAAGAGGTCCAGCCATTCAGCCAATGTACCCAAACAAATCAGAAATTCACATGCATCCAGAGGAAAGCCTTCCTGTCATACAGCTGATATATACAAGAGGGAAAACACACAAAATAGCTTGAAATTAAAGAAATACAAGGCTGCCATTGCTCACCTATATCCAAAAATACCAGTTGTCTGGCCCCAGTATGGCCATGGACTAAGAGGAAACCTTCACAAAGACAAGGACAACACACAAACACACAAAAACACAAATCGTACAAACAGCGCTCTTGTAGTGATATTGAGGGGGTAAAAAATGTGTGACCCTAAATAATGTGCAGCCCTGGAACCCAGGAGGAGTGCCTGTGGATGTGCAAACCAAAAACAGAAAACCAAAAAGGGCGAAACACTAGGTAGGCTGACTGACTGGGTCGAACGACCCATCCCCCGTGCGGATGCACATCTTCCGGCACATCAGTTCCAGATAGACACCACGGATGACCCGATCCTTCACACCGGCCGTCCATCCTCTGGTCCCATGATTAAAATGTAAGTGCTCATCCTTTTGTTTTCCTCAGCTATTCATTGGTTTTTCGCCCTTTGCATCCATTGTCACATGATTTTCCCTGTCACATTCCCCGGGTCGTTCGACCCGGTCAGTCAGCCTACCTAGTGTTGCGCCCTTTTTGGTTTTCTGTTTTTGGTAAGGACAACACACAGACTCCTTGCAGATGGTGTCACTTTGGAAAATGAACCTAAAGCCCTCAGGACAGTAAGGTAAATCACAGCCTAACTCCTGCCAAAATGTACTTTCTGGATAGAGCACGGAAGGGTTAAAACCTCTGTTACATTTTTACAGCTCCCTGTATCCCCTTTGGGGAGATATCCCATCATTTCCCATTAGGACAGGAAGTGATGAGAAATTTCTTCAACGGAGACACAGACAAACACATATTTAGTAGAATGAGGAAGGGTAAGAACGTCTAACAATGTCTTTATTGCTGTGTGTGCCTTCCTGTCCTAGTGACAACCGCTACCCCCATTTCTTAAATGGGTGTCATAGTGATAGCTGTCGTAGCTCCTCCCTATTCTAACAAACTAAAAAAGGTCTGCAGTTAGGCTTTAAACAAGATCTCCAGCCAAAACTAACACAATTAAAATGAATAGCCCATCATTAAAAAGATACAAAAAATTAACTTTGGTTGAAATAGTCACTTTGAATGCAGAGATTTCCCCCGCAGTACTTCAATTCAACCACAAGATGTCCTCAGTCTCATGGCCAGCATTAGACAACCCCCTTCTAGAAGGCACAGACGGACCTGGGCCCCCCTCCCCACCCTGGGACTGGACAGTGAAAAGAGAAGCAGCACAGTGATAAGCTCATTTCTCTCCTCCTATCATCATGAACTGATTGGCTCCTTGTGCTACTTCTTCCTCTCACACTCCAGCCCTGCTGTACAGGGAATGTAGTAGGTTCATTCCAAAACAAGTACTGATGTATTATAGGGAGAACTCTGGGGTTAGGGCTTTTCCCCATAGTTCTCCTTAGGGTAACAGGAGGACACAAACTAGCGTCCTCCCGTCACCCTAGGCTCAGTATACCGCTAGCTGAAGCTCGCGGTATACTGAGACGCCGCAGCTGAAGCGGATCCTGACAATTATGTCTGGATCCGCCCAGCTGCGTCACTGAAAGCTGGCTCTGCCTATCTAGAGGCAGAGCCAGCTGTACCCGCCCCCTCCCCTGTCCGTTCCGCCAGCCCCTCCCCTGTCATGGCAGAGAGCCGTGACAGCATCAAGAGGTGAGCGAACGCCGGTATGTGTTCGCTCACCTCCAGATCTACTGAGCCGACCTGTGACAGTCTCATTGTCACAGGTCGGCTAGAACTATGAGGTGAGTGAAAAGCACTCACCTCATAGTTCTCCTTTAATGATGACAGAGCTGCATTCATTTATGTCTATTATGTCCTTCTAGAGTTCAGCTTTAACCAAGTTTCATCATATGCACAAGATGACAATGGCACACATCCTAACCGCACAGATCATGTGACCATAGCGGCTCTAATGAAAGTAATGTCACATGTATAAGTCACTCAACAATAAACGCTCATCGTCTTCTAGTTCTATCGCCTACACACAATGTGGACTGCACTTGGAAACAATTCAAGGAAGGAAGATTGAAGGAAAACAATGGGCCAGCTACGAGGATGTCAGCCTGCGGCTTGCAAGCCTGCCTTTCATGCTACAGATGAGCATCACACAAGGACAACATCGAAAGGAAACCAAACAAATTATTTATTTTCTAGTCAGTTCAAAAAAAGTATTGTATTCAATCCGGGTAAACATGAAACGTTGTATATACACTTTACATATGGAGCTCTAAGCAGGTCTGTGATGAAATGATGAAAATACAGCTAAATGTGTCAGAAGACGGACCCCCCTGCCCGCCCCGCTCTCGATCTTACCAAACCTGCAATGTTTTAAAGCCCATCTGCAGACACAACCTTCCTATTGAGTTTTTTGCCACCTCCGTCCCTGTTTGGGAGATTTTTCCTGACTTCCTGTCAGCATAGGAAGTAAGGTAACATGTCTCCAATGGGGACAGAAAAAAGAAAACAATTTTAGTAGAGTGGAAAAGGGTTAGAAATTCTGGTTGTTTTGCTGCAAGTGCAGTAAATTAGGTCAAAGTAAAATCAGATATCTTCGTCTAATGTGGGGGGTTCAGCAGAGAGAGGTGACAGGGTCTCTTTAGAAGGATCAGTCACGTGACATGTCAGGGTCAGTGTGGCCAATCACGGGGCAGCCTCACCTTCCTCCTCCCAGGCTCGCAGCTGCCCCTGGTCGCTCCTCTTCACGCTGCCCAGGAACTCTGCCGGCACCGGGCACATCCTGTCATCCAGGCGCTGCGGACAGCTCTTCTCCCGGACATAGGCCTCCCGTGCCCGGTGGCAGTGCTCCCTCAGCTCCCGGGGCTCCAGGAGCCGTAGCTCCCCCAACAGAGAATCCCTCTGGACGGCTGTCAGCTCATCCCAGAAGCGGAGCAACTGCTCCTGGCCGGCCTCCTGTATCCGCCGCCGCTCTATCTTCAGCTCAGACTCCATCCCCCTGTTGCTATGGAAACCGGGACCTCTTCCTTGATATGGGAGCCGATGCAGGCGCCTCCGTTGCCAGGGTAACCAGGGGAGCTCCGGGATCCTCCGCTCTGGTGTAACTATGGAGACTGGAGCTCGATGCTGCTCCAGAGGTATATGGACAGAGGGGGCGGGAATGAGCGCGTGACTGCTGGAAGGCGGTGCTGGGAGGGGTCACGTGCTGCAGGGATCATGTATAAAAGTACTGAGGTGGCTGGCATGAGGTTGAATAATTATGTTTAAGTCATTTAGAGCAACGTTGTTAATGCTCTCCAAAACTCTAAAGGACTTCTCTTTGCAATAAAAGACTCTGGATATTTACCTCACAAGCGTGAACTATGCAGTTTTCAAGTGCTAAAGCCTTCAGTGTGGACAATTCTGGATGTGTTGAATGCGTGGGTCCCCCACCATGCGCTGTGGTTCCTCTCACCAGCTGCGGCAGGACACAGAAGTGATCTATGGGCCACTGGGAGGAACCACATGGGGCAGTGGGGGACAGAGGCATTCAACATGCCCAGAAGTGTAGTTTGCAATGTGTTGTGTAAGTGTGTGCTGAAAAAAATAGGTCATGTCGCATTGTTCAGATATGCAGTGTGCTGCCGCACAAAGAGTTAAATATTTACCTGAAAAATGTACACACTGACAAGTGTTTTATCAGTGTGAATGAGCCCCCAAAGAATACCTAAAGAGTCATTCCACTTTTGTTGAGAAAAAAACAATCCCCTCAGATGGATCAATGTACTTTGTAAGGATTTGAACAGACTTTGCAGCAGTTTTTCCCTTTATCTGTTCCATTTATCTTTTTATGTTCTCTCCTCATGTCCTTTCTAGACTGATCCCTTAATAGGAGGGTCTGGGTTCAATATAACCACCTGGTGAAATCTCAGTGTTCTAATGAGGACAGGTGCAGTGTCGGCATCCCTTTTAGCCCCCATTCACACGCGTAACAGCCGGCCCGTACATATCCGTGCTGCGTGCACAGCCGTATAGGGCCGCTCCCGGGAAGGACAGATGCTGCGTGTGATTGCACAGAGTAGCCCGTTCTTCTCTATGGGAGTATGCCGCCATACGCTCACCCGAACTGCACGTCCGTAAGGGTAAGGGTGTCCCTGCTCGGACGCAGACAGGATCCATCCGGACATGCAGTTCGGGTGACAGTAGGGCCGCGTACTCCCATAGAGAAGAACGGGCTACTCCGTGTAATCACACGCAGCATCTGTCATTCCTGGGAGGGGCCCTATACGGCTGTGCACACAGCACGGATATGTACGGGCTGGCTGTTACTAATGTGAATGAGGGCTGAAAAGTAGTTAACCCTTTAGAGAATATCTCACCAAAAAGACAACTTCTTTTGCAGGAGAAGCCTAAAAGTTTACTTGTATCTTAGTGCAGATACCTGAAAAATCAGCGAGCCCATCACAGAGGCAGGAAGTGACATTCTTCATTACATACTAGGAATGCACCAATACCATTTTTTCCAGACCAAGTAAGATTACTGATACTTTTCCTCAAGGAAACGCCAATACCAATTACTGATACTATTTTTAGTGTCATGTGACAGTTTTCCAAAACAATACAGACTAATGACTGTAGGACAGTGGTGGAGCGCCAGGGACCTGTAACAGCTGCAACCTCTGCCACACTTGTAGTTCTGCCACTGATTCCAAGCTGTAGGGGGACTACAAATCTCAGCAATACATTGTACAGCAATGCAGAATGCCACCAGCTATAGAGGACTACAAATCCCAGCAATACATTATACAGCAATGCAGAATACCACCAGCTATAGAGGACTACAAATCCCACAATATAGTATACAGCAATGCAGAATACCATCAGCTATTGATGGCTAATTGATGGTGTCCCTGTCACCTGTGTCCCCATCAGGGGCCGGGGTGGGAGAGGACACAAAAGGACAAAGATATCCAAATACTAGTGAAACTGAAGCCCTCCCTCCCTGGCATCTTACTGCAGGGTAAGCTCCACACACACAGTGTCAGTGCTGTCAAGAAGGGGTCTGGAGGGTATGGCAGGCTGGTGAGAGCCTCAGAAGGGCAAAGGGATGCGGCGGTCACTGGTGCTGCGGGTGCTGTCTCTGGGTACGGGAGGCGGAAGCACTGTGAGGTCTCTCTGTCCGGTCATGCCCAGGTCGCTGGCGTCACTGGTTTCCAGGAGCTCGGTGGGGCGTCAGCCAGAGCGTCCTGCTCAGTTCCCTGGCAACCGATAACATCAGTGAGCTGGGCGGGAAGCCGGACAGATCCACGCGTTGCTAAGAGCTCTTAGCAACCTAGGGCGCTGTGGCCGCCCCCTCACACCTGCTGCTCCCCTAATGAGATGCGGTTACCTCAGGCAGCCTCATTATATGGACGGCCCTGGGTGCAACTGTGAGACACGTACAGGGCATGTCACACTATAACAGGAAGTGCCTGAACAATGAACTTCATGGCAGGATCACCAAATATTCTAATAAACAAAAATACAGATTTAAAAGGTGAAAGGTCATTTTTAAAGTTGCATTTACATGTTAAAGATTAGAAGGAACTTTTAGTTATTGGGTTTAACCTGGCCGGTATTTTACTGGCCAGGCCGGTAAGAACAGGACTTGTTTCCTGTTAATGTGATAAATAGGAAAGGGATCATCAGACAGGTATAGCCGTCATTTCATAATGCATGTATTCATCCTGTATTCATGCCATTGGACGATCTGCTCCAGTTTATTTTTACTTTTTCAAATATAACAGACTGAAGTGTGCTGAGTTTTCCCTTCTAGCTCCCAGTGAATACAGGAACCTTTGTAGAAACCGTTCTGAGGAACAAAATGTGCCAGTTTCAGTTGGAGCGTCTGCCAAGGTCAACGTAATCTGATTAGCGTGTTTTGCTCAGAAGACCCGTGTTCTGGAATCTAGATCTCATCTACAGTAACTCAGTACACAGAACAATATTTAAATATGGATAAAAGGGGATGAATCATGTTAGAGGTGGGTATGACTGGTCATATATAAAAGCATCATTCAATACTATCACATATCTGGATGTACAGTAACGCACAGTCTGGGCCCTACATCCCTCAGGACGGCCCGGCATAATCTTACTTATTTGGCATACACTTACCAACATACAATTGTAGTTTGGATGAAATGTTTGAGATCTTCATTCTTAGCCATAGGCCCCTTTCAATGGGCACCCGTCAGTTCCGATCAGCAGGCAACATGTGCACAGATCTCCTGCTGATCAGAGCAGTACAGTCCAGGTTTTTCCTCCATCTGAACTTACCGGACCCATGATGGACTATGAAGAGTCGGATATAAGCGGGCATGTCCCATCAAATCAGATTACCTCCAATCCGTCATGATCAGGTCCACCAAAACAGAACTCTTCCGTTTGGTTTTCCAGACCTGGCTGGAGTCGGGGTAATCGGATGTAAGCGGATTCATGTCCATTTAGATCCAGCTGCCCATAATTGTGCTTCCAATCAGATCCACCTGAAAAACTGACAGACAGACCTGATTGTGCCTCCTGTCTAAAGCTGGCCATACACCTTACAATTATCTGCAGATTTTCTGTGGTCAGATGGAAAAGGTGCGACAGATTCCTCCATCTACACTTAACTGTGTGGATGGAGTAATCTTCACCTGGGCCAATCAATCTGTTGCACTTTTTCCATCTGACCACAGAAAATCTGCAGATATTTGTAAGGTGTGTGGGCACCTTTAAAGGGGCCTAAAGAATGAAAGGAAACCAAAGTTGTGCAGAGTAGGAATGTAGCCTAGCTTGACTTCTGGGGTGCAGGTACAAGCCAGGGACCAAGGCCTCGAACCCCAGGCCCCCCTTCTACATCAATGTATCCAGCAGTATTGACAGTGATAATATGATATTATACATGAGAAAATATATATTTATAAATACTACACCACTAAAGCTTTTCCCAATCCCGCCAGGACTAAAGATGGTGCTTACTGCACAGGCCTGTCATTTCATTGATGATGCTGCAGGGGAAAGGACTTCACCTTCCAGAGCTCCTAACCACTAGTGAGAGCCCAGGGTATACACAATGTGTCAACATCAGTGGGTTCCAGTTGGCATTTCTCTGGTTCCTTTATCCAAACTGGATAAATAGAGCGCAGGAAGGAAGGGCGCCAGATTGAATGGGCTGGTAAGGAAAAGAGTGTCACTGGATAGCAGAGGTGGACAGGGAAAAGGTCGAGATTCTTCTTTGCAAATCATCTTTCTTTAGATGGTGGATAGAGTAGGAAACAGCTAATACTCCTGTTGTTTTGTTTTATGTTTTAGGTAGAGTTCCCTTAACTTCCTTTTCTGGTGACAACATCACTGTGGCAGGAAGAAAAAAGGAAAAAGACCAAATGGGACCCCAGCAGCAATAAAGACCTGACAGATGCTCTCGCATTGCCCTGCCCTACTAATACAATAAGGTTTTGTAGTTATCTTGTCCCTGTATGAGAATTTCCTCTCACTTCCTCTCCTGGTGATAACATAGTCTTCAGCACAGGGTACAGAGACAGAAAAAAAAAACAAGACAAGAATTGCAACTTTTCCCCACAGTATGCAAAATTGAAAACATATTCTACAATGTAAATAACTAAACACCGAGCTGGAAGAAAGTAAAGCAGCTGAGTGAAAGTGGCAGGGCAAAGTAATTTACAAGGTAAGAGGTGGACGAACATTGCTGGTCCACACCCTCTGTGAGTTCTACATCTTGTAACTACACTAGGGAGATACAGGTCCCTACCAAATGCACATATGACAAAACTTGTCGTCTGTCTCATTATCAGCGGCTGTCTACAGTCCATACAGTCCACAGCATAGACTTAAAATGTGCAAACACCTAATAAACTGATAACTATGTATTCTGAACTTTGATCATGTTGAATTGTTTCCAGCTCATCTTAATGTCCTTTTTTATGGCCAATAAATGGTTTGCAGACACATTTCCTTTGACAATATAATATCATTTTATATGAGGAATAGAGGCCATGTAGACATAGTGGACCTTTAAACTATAATTATATATATATTGTGTTAGTTAGGGGAATGTAGCACAATGGTGACCACTCCTGAAGCTGACTTTAACATAAAAGGACAGTCTTTATTCACTCAAAGACCAATAATCCATGTACTTCACATAATAATTTGCTTTTCTTCAGCATAACGAAACATAACACTTCATTTGATCATATGTCTGTCTCACCAACATCTGGCTGTCTCATATACTCCCGATGTATTAGTCTCAGGACTTTACCGTATTTATCCGCAAATATAGTCCTCAATATCGCTCAGTAGCTTTCCTCAGCTCCAAGCATGTCATCATAGTCCTGTATGATACTCGCACTGCTCACCCCTCGTGGGTCACTGACTTTCAGACTCTCCAACAGGTCCCTTCGGTGTGACCGACCCTCTCGACCTTTCCTAGCCTTCGAGCACACAGCGGAGTCTGCCTGTGGCTGTGTGCCTCCTGCACATGCACAGCTCTCCACTGGCTGGGACCTTGTGTGCCTCCAGCACACCCACCCTCCTGGTGTGGTCCTTGTCTGCCTCCAGCACACCCACAACTCTCCACTGGCTTGGGCCTCGTGAGCCTCCCGAACACACACCCTCCTGTTTTGGTCCCCATGTGCCTCCAGCACACACACATTGCCCTGCTAGTTCCAGCTGCCCTAATGAGTCACTACCAAATTACGGTCCACGGAATCCAGAGTCTGTCTCATGCAGAGCTCTATCAGACTCCTAGTAAAACCAGCCCCAGTGGCAGGGGTTTGTAATTTCCCAACACCCAGGACATGCAGTTCCGGGCGCCAGGCGGGTAGTTTTCTACATTGAGCCCTGCTATGGGCACACAGGGCTAAATGTAGAGCGGGAGATGACGCTTGTTTGTTTACAAGTGATCTTGGCGATGTCGCCGGGATCACTTGTAATAACACTTAAACATACAAATACATTTGCAGAAGCTTGCTTGTAATATCATTGGAAACACCAAAGGGTAAGTGAAACTACAGGACAGACACAGACTCAGACATCTATATAAATAGCTTTATTTCTATCATTCTAAAAAATATGCATATTTAGACCAAATTCCAATACACATAACAGATAAAATATGCCTCAGATACATATGATCCAAAAAACGAATTCCTGCTCTAGTGAATAGACAAGAAAGAGTCATCAGATCACCTCTCAATGGCTTTGCAAGGCAGATTTTTGACAACTGTGAGTCTCCTATACATTTCCAACAAAATATTTATAATATGACAGTGCTGCTGGGGCAAAATTATCATTTTTAACATCCAGCTGTGACTAGCTTCTCAACACACTGAGGGCCGGTTCACACCACAAAGTCTGTGGTCCAGAGCATTCGGTCAGCAAGCCAGCCAACTACCTGCATTCAGGGGTGGGAGGGGGTGTGGCAGTGCATTGACGTCAATGGCACCACAGCCACGCCCCCTGCCCACAGTGCAATCGCCCGCACCCAGAATTTTTTCATACTCTCCCAAGACAGTTATTAGAACTTTTATGTTTTGATCAAGATTAGAAAAATGAAAGCTAGAGTCTAACTTTCATGTGTGAACAATACACTTAATAGATATGCATCTATTGGCACATCCAGCAAGATGGCGGTGCCCATACAAAACAAAATAATATATGCCTGAATATATTTTCATATATTCCGGCATATAATAATTTGTTATTTCGGATTCAGATGAACTGCCGAATCAACGGAATTTCATGATTCAGCGAGTTTGTCTGAATCCAAATTCTAATATCTGGCCTAAAATGTTTTTTTCCCTGAAGTTCCTCTTAAGGGCCATATTTACTCATCAGTAGCATTTGTTGGGTCATCCATTGAAAGAAATTTAAAGAGTCCCTTCTACGGATTTCATAGTATTGTTTGAGGGTCACTACCTCCACTATGTCTTCTTGTAATTGCATATATGTTACAATCTTTAATCATCTGTTGTAAAGATCTGGCAATAATGGAGAAACAACACACTGCAGACATATGAATATTATGCTGGTTCTTATTATGTCTCCAACACCGTGGTCCTCCTTCCCTTCTTTTGCTCAGAATCTGGTGGTTTTATGTAGATAGATGGGACTCTGTTTTTGCATATAGGGGTTGGAGTAGCTTTCCTTGTTCGTTGTCCTCATACACCTCCGAATAAATAGAACAATTACATCTAGGAACAGTTCAAAGAACTCCGCCAGGGTACACACTGAGAATCCTACCCAGAGGCCAACCAAACCTCCCATGTTAGAAATGAGGTTGATTTCCTAAAAAGGAGAAAAACCCAAAGCTGTGTTATAAATTTGAAAGGCTTATGCATTCATTCATTAAAGGGTCAACCCAACCAACTGCTATTTCGTGTTTTTGGTTAATACTGGAGAGGTGAATTACATAACAGCATTTTTATGTTCTATGGCGCTGGTGGTTAGATTTTTGCATTTGACTTCTCAACCCAAAAAAGAAAGGTGAAGATCAAGGGTTTGTCAGTGTTCACCAGAAGAGGAAATGAGGGCAAGGATCCAGTTGTCCATGGACATCTCTGAAAGATGGGATTTTCCTTCACTTTGGGGAGATTTCCTCTCACTTGCTGACATATTGCTGGGACAGTGAGTAAAGACAGCAATTAGAACCTGACAAAGGTTCTAGACAATCCACACTCTAAAATCAAAAAGTTTTGTCCACTTTATAATCCGTATAATCATTTAAAATTAGGGGCTGCTGAAATATACAATTGCAATTTTACTTCCTTACCTGGGTATGGGAGATTATCAAGTATGCACATTTAAGATCTCCAATACCTAACAGTGACAAAGCTTTACCACAAGAACAAGTATCTTTATTATAGCCATGTGACTATTATTTTCAATTTGTATTGGACTTAAAATGGCACTAAACTCAGGAGTTATATTTTAGAAATGCATTCAAGTCCCTTAACTATTAATAGTAATGTATCTTATGTGTGCATCACTCGGCTGTAGATCCTCAAATCGTCTCTGAATTGGTGCTGACACTGTCCTTCCTTCTGGAGAGTGGCTACTTTTATTCCCCATGGTTCCTGTGTGTGTTGTAAAGTAGTCACCGCTCCAAGCTCGCTCCCATGATGGACTACAATCTCAGATTTACTAATTTGTATTGAGATTATAGTCCATCACAGGAGCGGGCTTAGAGCAGTGGCTACTTTACAACACACACAGGGACCATGGGGAACAAAAGTATTCACCCTCCATAAGGAAGGACAATGCCAGCATGAATTCAGAGATGATATGAGGATCTACAGCCGAGTGATACAGAAATGAAAAAAAAAGTCCATGAACCCATCACACTCCTGACTGCTTGGTCACAGGAAAAATGGTGGGTGCTGCGGTAGTTGACGGACGGCGCCATCACATCACCTGCACATGTCTTGCCTAAGGAAGAGGGAAACTGCGTGACCCCGAAACGTTGCACTTATTTACGTCAATAAAAGGACGGGCAAGATTCAGGCTGGTACAAACCAATGGGACTGGTGTTCACTCCGCCAATGCTAGGAACCACGGTGCTGCCCTCTCCTCAACCATGGAGTCACTGGAATCTTGACAACATGTAACAAAACACAGAGCAGATGCCACCTCGTAGAGCTGTATGTTTATTGAGCAAATTATGAAATAAAAGAGTAAAAAGGTTCATATATGCCGGGTTTCATATGGGAATAGTGAGTGGAACCTTTTTACTCTTTTATTTCATCATTGGTCAATAAACATACTGCACTAGGAGGTGATGTCAATAAAAAGACGCATTATCTGTTTATTTCTGGAGTGCCGGTGTCTCAACTATATTTTTTGATACACAAATAAGATACATTTTTGTTAATAGTTAAGGGACTTGAATGTATTTTTAAAATATAACTTTAACTAAAAATAATCATTTTGAAAAAAGAAAGTATACTTATCCTGGTGTTTTGGCTTTGTGAATTGAGCCTTTTGTACTTTATTCTACCTCTAATTATAATACTGACCGTCATTGAGGGCTCCTCTTCTATCATTTCAAAATTTAGCTGTTTGAAATACACCACAACCTTCACAAAGTTATCTCTGTGGAAACAGATAAGAGGGAAAGCCATTATCCATGGACAATCAACATGACACCACTTAGCTGCTAACTGAATAGACTAAACATAGATATAAACCTGATCACTAAAATCTTACATAAGCTTTAACATGTTAATGTAATATCAAAAGTTATTTTAATCTTTTTAAATCGGAAGGATTAATGAGCAACTTTACTGGGCAAGAGCAAAGTAAAGGTCAGCAGATACAAGTACTGTAGTTGCTGACTTTTAAGAAACACATATGAACCATCACACAAAGTCCTGCGCTGTCTTCCACACAGCGGATTCTCTTCAGGGCTTCTGCTCCCCTCCCGTGCCTCCATCTTGGATTTGGTGGGCAGCTGGGACTTCCTGATGACTCACATCCGGCTCCCTACTATTCATGTGTGAGATCAGTACTGCAGGGAGACTGGTCCTGTAAAATGAATTCTCTGGTAAAGGTCTGTTTTTAAGTATACATTATGATCCTGCCCTAAAGTTTTTTTGTTCAGACCTGGTATGGAGTGACAACTGTCCCCCAACTGGGCCCCTGCATTGTCACCTTGTCACATGCACCCCGATAGAGACTGCAAGCAGCTGTACTGAGACAAATTGCACTTGCATGGTGCACTATTGTCACTATCATGAAACTAATCATAGCAATGATAGCAGTCACCAAGAGAGCGAGTGCATGTACACAGGAAGTAGCCCAGATAGGCTAAAGGAGATTGGGTCAATGAGAGCAAATTAGAGGTCATCCAATTAGAGTATGGGTCTGCTCTAAGCGCAAATTGATAGAAACATTCTGGCATGTGGCCCCCTATGCATCTGAGACAGGTATAAGTTAGCACTGTTATAGACAAACCTAATGAGTGCTGGATTGTCAGCAATATCTTTCATCTGTCCTCCCCATTCTCTTAGTTCTTTTGCAAAGTTTTCCTAAAAGAAAAAAAGTATTATTGGTAGATGTAAAGCATGGTATTCATAAAAACGAACATCACAGTTCTCACACAGACAAGGGTTGTACTGTACAGGCCAATTTGCTGTATATAAAAAGGTCAGACTTACAATGAAAGCACTGGATGGCCACTGGGACCCAGACACAGTCAGCTCATAGATTTCCTCTCTGTAGAAGAATGGGACACGGGGTTATTGATTATGGAACTCCTATGTTGGCAATGCATTTAAAAAACTTAATGAAACTCTACAGTTGTCAACATTTGAAAATAACCAGGAGGGACAACTTGAAGGGCTCAGCCAAAAGAAACAGTAACAGGCAGAGTCTTGTGCCCACAAAAAGTGGGTGTGGCCAACAAAGTGGGTAGTGTATGGCTTTTAGTTTTGCGACATTTTAAGCAAAGTAAAGTCTGGAGGTGCGTGTGGCTCCTGTCTAAATTGGCCCCTGTATGTATGCATGTGAGACTGGGACCTTAAATTTGAAGCTCCTTGAGGGCAGGGACTGATGTGAAGGTGTACTATGTAAAAGCGCTGCGTAAATTGTCAGTGCTATATAAATACCTAAATATGCAAAATATATATATATGGAGGAGGCTGTGACAGCTCTTGCCTCACTAGTTAGGTTACACAAGCAGTGGGGAAACCCGCTGCTGTGTAACCTAACCAGTGGCGACTCTAGGAACAATATGTAGGGGGGGCACATAAGATACAGTCAAATCTGGGGGGACTAATAATTTTCATTGCATATCGCAACCGCTGGGCACCGATGAGCTAATTTAATTGCGGATGGCATCGGCACCCCGCGGTTGCGACATGTAGTCCAACGCCGCCCACAATCCTGCATACCGCAACGGCCGGGCGCCGATGCCATCCGCAATTTAATCAGCTCTCGGTGTCCGGCAGTTGTGGAATACAGCAGGGGCTGACTGGCAACTTTTAGCCCAGGGGGCAAGTACAACCCAGTGGCCCATGGTGCAGCAACTTAGCCCACCCTCCAGCTCTGCCTCTTCCCCCGCCTTCCCCCCGCCCCTGGCTGCCACTTTTGGCATCCATGTAACACTAGTGTGAATGGTCGTGTGATGTGAGGACTAGTGATGGGCTCAGGCGTGTTCGCAGCTCCACGTGCCGAGCCCGCCAGGAAGCTGACAGCGCTGTAGCGCCAATCACAGGTACTGAGACATTATCCCAGTCCGCAGCTGCAGAGATCGGGATATGTCTCAGTGCCTGTGATTGGCGCTGTGGAGCTGTCAGCTCCTGGCGGGCTCGGCACATGGACCTGTGAACACGCCCGAGCCCATAAATAGTGAGGACTCCTAGTAAGTCCATAAAAGGGGTGACTGGCTGGGGGATGGTGTTCTCCTCCCACTGGGCTCCCTACATGGTTCTGGCCTTACTCCGCTCCATGTCCACTACTTAGGCACTCTCGCCCACTGTAGACCTCCGCTGTCTGTCCATGCTTCTAAGCTGTGAGCTGTGGGAGGATAGTGGGAGGGGCCGGACAGTGTCAAAGTCAGTGTTCTATAATTTTTCTCGCCCCTATACCTTTTCTCGACTGTGTCACTTCCAGTGGGGCCGAGTCATCCGAATCAGATGTTTTCATGACTCCCTTTCTTAATGACATGCGCACCTAGAAGTGACGCAGTAGAGAAATTAATGGGTTGAGGAAAGTTAGAACACTGGTAGTGAAGGGATGCCTCGTCAGTGCTCTGCGCGTGTACGACTGCTGCGACCCTGGTACTTCTGCCACTAACCCCGAGCTGTAGAGGGACTACAAATCTCAGCACAATATATAGCAATGCAAATTAATACCACCAGCTATAGAGGACTATAAATCTCAGAAATACATTGTACAGCATTGCAGAATTCCATCAGCTATAGAGAACTACAAATCCCAGCAATACATTACACAACAATGCAGAATACCATCAGCTATAGAG